TAACACTTAAATAATAGTACAAAGGGGCACCAGATAAATATGCGCCACACAAATCTCATTTGATTTGTGTGGGGGCTGTGTGCTATAACCCGAAGAGAAGCGTGAATGGTAACTTTTGAGGACTATTTGTAGACCAATGTAATATGTATATTTCCTATTGTATAATTGTTAAGTAACTAACCTAATCATATTCGTGTTCCTCATATCATTAGCTTTATTTTGACTTTTGAACTATTATTATACGATTCTTGAGTTATCATAAGTATATTGATTACTTCCCCCCTACTCACAGCCACATTTGGCTAAATCTTGTACAAATGTTATTTTCTATTTTATGGTACGATGTGGTCTGTTTGTTTAGTATATAAACCCAGTATGTCTTAGAATAATAATTCATATTGCAGAGGCTGTTATTGGTGTTTTGGACTTAACTGGCTAGGCTAGGCAGAAGCAGGACCAGTTAGCGCTATAGACTGCTCGTACGGTTTCGTGTGTCACTGTTCCAACCGATAAGTCGCTACTCCCTGATTGGCGGTCTCATCAAGTCGCACATTAACTAGGCATCCACTCGGCCACAAGATATAACACTGTGATACTGCCCGGGTGCCAAAACCGAAGCAGTTTATTTAAAATATATATTATACATTACCAATAAGTGACGGATACTAAGCAGGGGATTTTACACCAAGCAATATATCCTACAGATGAATTTAAGGATTTAATAATATATCTATGTTTGACAATGCCCAACCTCCTCTTGATCTACTCTTATATCAACTAGTATTGATCATCATAGTAGACAATTGATTAGAATATATGTAACACATATAAATCAACCATCCAGATCAGAGAACAAAACTCTATCAAAATTATCCACCTGAGCTACAAAATATTCTCCACCATCTCAAAATCAACCGCTTAAACAGATAAACATTTAAAACTTTACAGATCCGCATATCATATTATACATTGCCTAGGTATTAATCTAAGGATAAAGTACAATCATTACTGATATACTGAATACATGTTATTGTATCCTATAAAAAATATATATACAATCTGACATTCATTTTATATTAACTGAAATTACCATAATTCACATCAATATAATAAAATGAAATAAATAAACGATATTAATAACAAGAACTGATCAAATTTAATTTGAAATATCAACAAAGGGATCATTGAAACTCTTATTAATAATGTCTGTCAGTCATTCAATCACAACGTAGAACTTCGTACGTACGCAAGTACATCAGTTCGAGTTGACATACCAAATTAGCACAGAGATGCAGTTGTCGTTTCAAATCCCATAGTGGTAGAAGTAGTAAGAGTATAAGCAGTAATCCAAAAGATTAGGGTTTGAAGATTTTATTCAAGGAGTATAATCCAATGAAATAAATTCGGAAAGAGAAAAAGGATAGGGACATGAAGAATTCAGAAATGACTGACAGAACACAAAGAGTGGATGAACCTTCGCCATTGCAAACGATTTTGAGCCATGTCATTCAACGTCTCTAATCATCGATTGCTATCATCTAACAAATCCTAACTAATAATGACATAAACATTATACCCGTTTAACTAGTTAGTAATTACCTAAACACAGTAGTTCTATGAATGATATAATGACGTTTAAAGTAGGGAAAAAATACAATTAGATTTGAGTCCCATCATAATGATAAACACTGGGATACAGATACATTCAATTGAACAGTTATAAATAGAACAGAATGCAGAACTTATATTCCACTGTTAGCCACAACTCAATCACTATATAATAACATTAGTAGTAGTAAACTTAAAAAAATTAAACAATACCTGTACAGGGTTGATGGAATGATCCAGACATGACAGACATGACAAGCTTAGGAAACATTAAGAAGCAGTTTATCCAATCAGTGTTTGACCAGAAGTTTTGCTAGAAATATCGCGAAAATGAAGTCACATATAGAGTTTCTGATTGGCTGATTACTACACTGCTACTACGTTTAGTAGCATTTCAGGAAAACCCAAGGACATCTAAAATACTATAAAAACCCTGTATTTTCTGTACATGAATGAACCTTTAGAGTAAAGTACATCCCGCATACTTTGTGCTTTTTCTCTCGTGTTCAGGCCGCTGTATAGTTCTAGCTTGGGAGTACAAAACTAGCTTAGGATCCGAATATAGCGTTCAATCAACAAGATGTATCAAGGGTATTTTTATACAGCATATTATTCCTGTCGCATTATTATTCAACATCTGTCACAGATGAGAAGTCAACATCATTTTAAGATAATAACAGATTTTACTATTAATTTAACTGAATATATTGAAATGGTCATAATGAATAGATTACACTGAATAGCACACATGAACCGATATCAAGTGTAATTATTTCGACACGTACTATATTACATTTCATTAAACCTTAATAATGATCATCAGTATGGAGTTGTGGAGATTGTTAAGTTTTTCACTCAGATCATTAATCGATCAGCATTCGATTACCATTGAAAACCTGAAAATATTGGACAGCTGTTTCTTACTAGTACGGGACTCCTCAGCATTGTGCATCCATGATCCCGTAAGCGGGATTCGGACCCAGGACCTTTGGTCTCGCACGCGAACGCTTCAGCACTAGACCACTGAGCTGGCATCCAACGGTATTAATGTCTAACTTCAACCAATCCACGAAATCGCGCGACCATCTCCCATTGTCTAAAGTAGATACCTGTCTCTACCTGAATATCACCAGAGAAAACTTTTGCCTATAACTTTAAAAACTTATTCATTAAATGAAAATATAGTTATCGTTTACTAACCAACATGCAATCTAAATAAAAAAGGACAGGATGATTTGCGCTAATTAGTCTGAAAAAAACAACCATACAATTTAATTAACAGAATTATCCAGTCTAATGAGTAGTATAAATAAAAATTTGAAATAATGAAACTTTTATGTCATCGTCAAATAGTTTAAACTGTGAGTTTTTTTTAGTATTATCAATTTCATAACAACAGGCAGTATCGTCAGCTTCACTTGGGTACACACATATACATACATAAATGGTTAAAATGATAATAACAGTGTAATTTATAAGCAAAGATGGATAGTGTGTAGCAGTAAAATCCAGTTTGGCGCGCGTTTCGTCCTACTTGGGACTCGTCAGCTGGATGTACCTGCATCTCAGAGTTGATGTTCACTCTGAGACTCGAACCCAGTACCTTTCGCTTCAAACGCCATCGTGTTCTCCGCTCGGCTATGCTTGTGAATTTAGGCTATATCGAGACAATACGCACAATATGCACATATGCCAATTAGAGACTGACAGTTGCAGTCCTAAAAACATCAATGGGAAAATTCAAACAAACAATACTAAGTGTAATTTATACTTTCACAATTTGATTGACAACAACGGATCAGCCAATATTGTGATTAGATTTAAATTATATATTACTCATTATGAACTACATGTTCTATCAGCTTAAAAAGATAACTTGGTCGACAAATAGAAAAATAGGAGTGAATAAAGTAAATCTTATCATTCCTACCAACCCTGCATCGAGCAATCGAAGCCAGAACCTCCAGTCTCTCGCCCAAACGCCCAAGCTCTAGACAACTAGACTAGTGATCAATAGAGTTAGTGTCTAATTTCAATCAATTTATGACATTGCGCGATCAACCATGTCAGGTATAAAAGAGTTATCCACTGAATGAAATGAAAGATGATTACAAAATATAGTGAATTTTATTCATTTAAAAGGGAAAAGATGAAGCTCCATAGAAGAACAACACCCTAGTTTAACAAATTCATCTTATAAATACATACTTTTAAATAAACAACAGAAAGTATGTTTAGTCCCAGAAATATCTCCAGTCAGTGCTTATAATTCATTGAGTAGTAAATTCACTCATGATTTGTGAATGAATATAAAATTTAAATAAACCCACTTCATCACTGAGTTACGGGTAAATTCAACTGAAAAGGTCTGAATAGTAATAAATGTGCACTTTGGATTACACTACTAGCTACAATCAGTCTTTTCTAAACAACTTATAACTAGTAAAAGGAAAAACCAGCTCTTCTATCCCATAAACATCAACAAATCCAAATGAAGATAACTATTGTAGCAGAAGCCTCTACATCAGTATGCCTCAATATACACAAGGCGAAAATCAATATCCTCAAATACAACATAGAGAACACAAAATGAATCACACTTGGAGAAACTTTGAAACAGGTGGAAACTTTCACATTCTTTCCCGGACAGCATCATCGATGAACAAGGAGGATATGATGCAGACGTTAAGTGAAGGATTGGCAAAGTAAGGCTAGCATTCCTACAGTTAAAAAACATATGGAGATTAAAAAAACTGTCGACCAATATCAAAGCCAGAATCCTTAATACGAACGTCAAGTTATTTAGTTCTACTGTAAGGAGCTGAAACTGGGGGAACTACTATAACCACTATTAAAAAGCACATTTGTAAACATTTGTGACATGAAAGGATAGAAACAATTTGTCTGCGCAAAGTACTCCAGATCCGTTGACCGGATACCATCAACAATTTACTATGACAGAGAACGAACCAACTTCCAGCTGAGGAGGAAATTAGGAAAAGATGTTGAAGGTGAATTGAACATAGATTGCGGAACTCGTCAAACTGAATCATGAGGCAAACGCTAACTTGGAAACCTGAAAGGAAAAGGAAAAGAGGAGGACCCAAGAACGTATTGGATCGAGAATTGGGGGCAGACATCAAAAGAATGAGTAGAAATTGTAAGAAACTGGGAAAGAGAGCGCAGGACAGAATTATTTGAAGAATCCTAGTGGGCAGCCTATCCTCCTCTACGAGGGATGACAGATGTAAGAAAGTAAGTAGGAAAAGGAGATATCAAGGAATTCACATATACCAACTAAGAGTAACCGAAATTCATGGTTTACTATTAATAATGGTGAAATATAAACCATTATAAACAGTGTAAAAATTTGTATATAGCGGACAAAATACCTGGCATGTGCACAGATCCATTGATCTATAATTGCCGAACCACCTGGGCCATAAGATATCCATTCAGATTCATTTGGTTCAAAATGAAATATTTGAAGTGGATAAAGTAAACTTTTCAAGTTTTCAAGTTCTACATATGGAATAAATGTAATAGAAAATAAGTAAAATGATAGTTCAAAAATATACTACTTCTATTACATAATATTAGTAGTTTTGAAGTATCACACAATAAGACATCCAACATGTTATGGCTTGGAATTAATAAAAATTTTCAGACCAAGTAGACTTTATATTTTAAATGGTCAAATTTCTCCAAGTTATTTCAATCTGATCAAGTTAATACTTATGGAACATGACTCCTTTGAGTTGAAGGTGTTTGGTAAGTCTATACGCTCAATCATCTTTATCTTACAGCACACAAAACGTGATAACTCCATGTGAGTAACTGTGACACTCTCATAAGAAGAGAAATTTAAATCTTAAACAACGTGATTTCACAAACGGTAGTCTTTTTAGGCTCCTTCTGAATAGGATTCTTTGAAAGTATAGACCAATATCTTAGTATCGGTAGACCGATGAAATATTTAACATTACTGATAGTGTGGGTCTCCGCTACACAGTGGTTTGAGTTTAAAACTTTCGCTGAACCAAACTTTTCTCAACTTATCTAAATAAAACGTCTCTATATGCGATTTTTAAAAGCAGTATTAACCAATAAATTCATTCCCAATTCAGCATTATATTCTGTATACAACTACATGATCATCAATTTTGTTTAATCCAATATATTTTCATAGTTGAAATCATGAGTCAATTGAAGCTAGACAACCATGGAAAACCTGGAAGCACTGGACGGCCATTTCGTCCTATTATGGGACTCCTCAACAGTGCGCATCTACGATCCCGCCTCGCGAGATTCGAACCCAGGAAATACCAGTTTCGCGCCAGAGCACTTGACCGATAGACCACTGAGCTGGCATCCAACGGTGTTAATGTCTAACTTCAACTGATCCACGAAGTTGAGCAACCATTCACCAATTGTCTTTAGTGAGTTAATATCTCTGAAACAGACTTAGTAGAACTCCACTGGTCACTGCTTACCACTAGAACTCAAGGAAATATCTCTTGAAGTCAGTCACTAGTGAGCATATGATTATAGATCAGAGGGGGTTTTGTGGAGAATTTAGTATTTTCATAGTTGAAATCATGACGAAACGGCCGTCCAGTGCATCCAGGTTTTTCATGGTGGTCTAGCTTCGATTGACTCATGATTTCATCTATGAAACTACTGAAATCTCCACAAAACTCCTTCTGATCTATAAACCAATATAGCTGTGAAGTTATTTTATGGCTTTTTTTAAAACTGCATTGTTTAGTACAAAGTAAATGGGCCTCAAAATATCTATTGGTCAACATCAAAGTCAAGATTTTTAACATTCACATCAAGACAGTTCTATTGTACGGGGATGTAACTTGGAGAAATATTATGGCCATCATCAAAAAGGTACACTCATTTTTAAAAGGTTACTCACACCCAATACTCAAGACCCGTGACTAGACATCAAAAACAACCTAAAGTATCAAAGAACAAACCAGCTTCCAGCCGATAAGGAAGTTAGGAAAAGATGCTGAAGGTATATAGGACACACATTCCCGAAACCTTCAAACTGTATCACGACGCAAGTCCTAACTTGGATTTTTCTATGTAGGAGGAAAAAGGGGCAGACCAAACAACTACATTGCATCGGGAATCGGAGGCAGACATAGAGAGAACGAATAGAAATTGGAAAAAACTAGAAAGGAGAGTGGAGGACAGAATTAGTTGGAGAATTATGGTGGGTGGCCTACGCTCCCTGACGAAAAGTAACAGGTATAAGCAAATAAATAAATCAGTCAGTCAAAACATAGAACTTCGTACGTACATACATCAGTTCGAGTTGCCATACCACATCAGCAAAGTAATGCAGTTGTCGATTCAAATCCCATAGTGGTAGAAGTAGTAAGAGTATAAGCAGTAAAAGGAAAGATTAAGGTTTGAAGATGTTATTCAAGGAGTATAATCCAATGAAATAAATTTGGAAAGAGAAAAAAAATAAAGGAACATGAAGAATTCAGAATATTAGAATTTTGGAGAACATAAGGAGTGGATGCACTTACGCCATTGCAAACGATTTTGAGCCATGTCATTCAAAGTCTCCAACCATTGATTGCTATCATTTCGCGAATCCCAATCAGATAGTCTACACCTACCAACATGGCTCAGTCTAATTGTCAGTAACTTCATGGATTTGTGCCACGTTTTGGTCTGGCCGCCCATAGCTTTCTTCCAACCTACTGGGACACCATAAAGAACTGAACGTCGGGACAGTCGGCGGTTGGGCAAACGTAACACGTGTTCCAGCCATCTCAACTGATCAAGTCTCACTACTTCATCAATCGATTTGTCATCCTTACCCAGTACCCGTTTCCTAACAACTGCATTATTTACCCGGTGGTCCCAGGATATACGAGCAATGCTTCGAAGACACCTATGATCGAACACTAGTAGCCTACGAATATCCTCTACTGTTATCTGATATGTTTCACTGCCATAAAGTAGGACGGAACGAACTGCTGCACAGTAAACCCGTCCTTTGGATGCTAGACGGATATCTCGCCTACGCCATAAATGACGCAAGTTGGCGAAAGCTAGACGAGCCCTCTGTATCCGTGCTGAGATTTCGTCACACACCAGACCACAAGGGCTGATGAGACTCCCAAGTTAGATAAATAGAATATGCCAACTGAGAATGGTTCAGAGAAGAGTTCTCTTTTATCCAAATTCATTTTCGAAGCTATACAGTTCCAGATGTATACCTATTTTTTCAAAAATTTTAATCTAATATCATCACATTTTTCCTTTTATTTCTTTTCATTATTGATCTTTTACCTCGAACCAACTTATTTCGGTTTCCATGCTGTTTTTGATTACAGTTCATTTGAAATTCAATATTTCATTTTGTCACATGATCTTAACCTTATTTATCAACATTATCTTGGTAAATATTTAAGTTCACTACAACCTACATTTTCAGTTTCTTAATAAAGATATTTATATAACCTCTCTGTTGTCATCATTGTTAAACAAATATATTATTATTATCAGAAGGGGTTTTTGTGGAGAATTAGTATTTTCATAGTTGAAATCATGAGTCAATTGAAGCTAGACAATCATGGAAAACCTGGAAGCACTGGACGACCATTTCTTCCTATTGTGAAACTCCTCAGCAGTGCGCATTCACGACCTCGCCTCGCGAAATTCGAACCCAGGACCTAACAGTTTTGCGCCAAAGCACTTAACCGATAGACCACTGAGCCGGCATCCTATGATGTTTATATCTAACTCCAACCACAATAGGACGAAACGGCCGTCCAGTGCTTCCAAGTTTTCCATGGTGATCTAGCTTCAATTGACTCAGGCTTTCAACTATGAAAAATCTATTATCATCATTAACAGACATAATGGTGATTAAACGATGTTCGGTTCAGGGTTCCAATGAAACTTAACAATCTCTACAACCCTGATAAACAAATTATATACTCACGATTGTACAGCTTTAAATATGAATATACTGAAAAGAGAACTCTTCACTTAACATTCAACGAAAATGATTTGACTACACATAATGTTACCACACATATACATACGCATTACGGTGAAGTTGTTTTCCTCATGTGATATAAACAAAAACCACAAATTGATTTAGCGTTGTTAATAGAATGAGGCTTCATTTTTGATATGCTACTACTATTATGACCATCTCTAACGGAGTAGAATGAAGTGATGAATAAATATTCCTCATTACTGCCCATATAAAAGTTTTTTTTAATACTAACCTTTTTTATCAGCATCTGTGGCTAGATAAATCGTATCGATGTAATGATCTTCATACTGATTAAATATCTTAACAGCATTTAGAATTTGTTGAGCTGCTAAAACACTATTAGGAGATCGACTAGTAGTAGTAACAGTTGTTGTTGTTGTTGTAGCGCTAGTACTTGTAGTAACAAAATCTCCACGACGCCAATGAACCGCTACATATGGTCCACCTAGAGCTGGTGAAAGGGGCCATTGTGAACGCAACCAATTGGAACCTGGACCAAGATGTTCAACTATTGACGGTGATACTGTACGATCTGAAATATCATTAGAATGTAGATAAGTTTCACGGTAATTATCACCAATATCACGTAAATGATTTGCTATTGTAATGCTTCGACGTACCTAAATATCAAAATTGTAATATAAGACAAGAGAAAAATGATAGCATAACAGTAAAAAGATATTGGAAAATGACCAAATGTTATTGAACATATTGTGATACACCTTATTGGAAATATTTGCAAATAGCCAAACAAAATTTATTCGAAATGTGTAACTTATAATTAATTAATCAATCGAATATAACGTTTGGATTCGATTGGTCTCTAAATAGTCACTAATGTCATGTCCATCAAGTCTCTAGTGTTGATCTTATTCTATCGATTAAGTTACAATATGACCATATTGCTTGAACTATGTTTTAATGTTAGGTGGTTATAAGTAGTCAACAGGAAGCCCTGGACCTAGGTTTCATGCCAGATGACAATCGTCAGTAACTTATGTCATTTAACTTCACCGTCTGAGATTATATCAACGAGCTGAACAACTGTAAATATATGTCTCACAGGAGTTTGGTCGCAGCCCAAATGGCTCAGTAGTAACAACTCAGATCGTGGAACTGGATGATTCAGGTTCGTAGCCTGTAAGGAGCATCAGTCACCTCAATGTTGAAGATATGCCTTTCTGATGAATATTTGGTTCGAGGGTTTCAAAAGATTTCCTCCAACCACTTAACGAATACATCATTTGAAAGGCAAGTGTACTAACGATCAAATGTTGCATCAAGTGTTTGAAGTTGAATAATGGCTTGCTCAAGACCAGAGAGATATCAAATATACAGCACACATCTGATTTTTTGAAAACACACCAATATCAATTGCTTTATTACAGATCTAAATGCATAAGGAATGCACAAAAGCACTAAGGCAATGCTATTTCACCAGCAGAAGCTGTATAACGCATTCGAAATCTTACTGTTATCGACTTAGCTAGTTTCAATTTCCAGATTGCCTTGATTTGACGTTCGTACATACCTAATTGTTATAATTTGTTTTCATTTTAAGATGAAAGTGCATTCTACACGTGTATTTACTGAGTTGTTAACTCATTTTTTCTCTCGTATTTCTCTATCACACACAACGTATCTTTGGGGTACATGTAAATCTACCAACTGGTATACACGACAAATTATATCCTAAGTTCTTTAAAAGCTAACGGTGATGCAATCTAACTGTTCGAATTTTCAATGAATGAAATTAGGTTAGAGTTGTAAGCTGTTGCCCATAGAAGAAACATGATAATTATCACATCAATCCATCTACTTTTTGAAGATCCTACACTTACTAAGTATGTTCAAGTAAACGAAATATATTATCTTGACTGAGTTAGTCGATGATAAACCCTTTTGAAAGAAAACCGACTTTCCAAAAGATAAAAAGGAAATATTGCCTTTAGAATTATATCAATAACGAGAACTACTTTACGTAGCCACTTCAAGTAAGCTCTAACCCGACCATACGTATGCGAATAAATAGCCTCACGTGTGTTTAAGTGCTTATTTAGTAGACTTGCAGGTCGGAGAATACTAGTAGAGTATGTTTCAAATTTGACCAATATTAGATACAGTGCTGGGACTGGAACTTGTCTAGATTCCCCACATTAACAATTTTCAATCTCAAATTAAGTGTCACATGATTTATTGAAGATAGAGTATTAGAAAACGCCTTAGCTACTATCACATGAAAATGTTTATCTCCTATTAAATAAGTTAAACCCAAAATACCTATGAGCACAGGATAGATATATCGTTCTAATTCTAAACTTCTATGTAGTATCTACCCATGATCTTGGAAGGGATTCCATTGCACGATTTTGTTAGGTGGGGGGGGGTGAATATTCAGGAAAGATGGAACTTTTAAAACTGTTCTACAAAAAATTATTGTCCTATAATATTTTTATGTAGTCTCCAAAATGATTAATTACTTCCACCTAGGACCAACAATCAATAATGTTATGAACTGATAATATGTTTAGATTTGATTCATCTTAACTGACTGACTCACATTAACTATAATGATCTATACATAGGGATAATAGAAAGAAAACTTACAGTCCAATATTCTTGACTCCATTCACTCCAATGACCGTGTATAATCGACTGAGCTGAGCCTAAGTATAATGTTCTGTAAACGCAATAAAAACAAACTCATATATTCACATAGGAATTAATAAGTCCTGATACTGTACATTGTGACAAACTTATATAACAGTCTACCATTTGATGATTGTCGCGTTATCTATCAAACTGATAAAAGTTGGACATGTGCATCACAAGATTATGACATAATGGTCTGAGTGATTAAATGCTCACCACGAGACCTTAAAGTCTTGCTTTCAATCCCTGAAAGGGATCGTAAGTATCCGCTGCTGATGAGCCCCATGAAGGGACGAAATACCCGTCCAGTGTCATCTGGTTTTTGATGCTACGCCCTAATTGAGATAAATCTGTGACAAGTACAACCTACGAATAAAATCAATCCGCAAATAGCTCTTTCCATTAAATAATAAAAAACCTCCTTTACTCATCACATCATAAGTAATAACAATTATCCTATTAATCAAGTACACTATTACAAATTAAATTAAATAAATCACCATGGTCAACTAGCTGTTGTTAAATAACCCTATTTACTTGAGTAAACAATAGAAATTTAAATCGTGAGTCGATTGAAGCTAGACCACCATGGAAAACCTGGAGGCACTGGACGGCCGTTTTGTCCTATTGTGGGACTCCTCAGCAGTGCGCATCCACGATCCCGCAACGCGAGATTCGAACCCGGGACCTACAAGTCTCGCACCAGAGCACTTAACCGATAGACCACTGAGCCGGCATCCAATGGTGTTAATGTCTAACTTCAACCAATCCACCATGATTTCAACTATGAAAAATACTGAAATCTCCACAAAACCCCTTCTGAATAGAAATTTAATTGAAATACATTGATAAAAAAATATAGCTGAATAACAAAAACTTACGTAATGGGGTTTTTAGAATTTTGAATTAATTGGATTAAGAATGGTGCTAAATGAATAGGTTCTAAATCCCCAGTGATACAATCATATGCAGATGCTGTCATTGGTAATATACCATTTTGTAAATTAAAATTACTTCCTTCAAATAATTCCATTGGTCGACTGAATGACGATGATGACAATGTTGAGTCCTACATAACAATGAAATTAGTGAATATTTTTAGTATAGTGGTTCATAAATACATTACAATATTTAACAAATTATATGTTCTGATAATCCTCATTTGGTGATTTTCATAGTATGATAGTAAATAATCATGTACTCTTACATGTCAGGAGTAAAACAGCTATCACCAACGTCCCTGGATGGTTGTCATGCTACATAACAAACTGACTAAAGTCAGAACCATACTATCAGATTATGATCCAATAGCTGGAATTGACTAAACATTTGTCGTAAAACCTGAAGATCATGTGTCCGATCACCAGCGAAGTAGTGAGTGTGCACTGTTGATGTGTCTAGTACTTGTATGAAGTAGCTGTCTGTAGCTCTTCAATTTTCAGAGGTAAACTAATTGTATATTTTGGGGGACCTATTTTATTTATATATTTATTTAAGCATATAAATATTGGTACAAGGGGGCACCGGATATAGAAATCTCACTTCATTTATGTGAGGGCTGTGATACTACCCAGGTGCCCAAACTGAAGCAGGTGGTTTTCTTAGGGGGCCATACCCGGAGACTTTGACCTAAAGGTCTGATGCACAAGGCAGTGGAGCATTGTACGGAGATGCAGTCCCATGGAAGCCGGTGACCAACGACTGATTCATACACCATTTGTTCCCTCAGGATACTGGAGCCCATGTGCACCATTGGTTTGGAATCAGGGTTTCCGAACTCCCCTGGGTAGACCCTCCGTGTCCACCAACCCGGTTATAGCGCTGGACATTCGCTTTTCGTCCTCTCAATTTCGTAAACAACACCCCCACCGCGGAAAGGCAGCGAGTAGGACTTCCTTGGCAGAGGCTATATACGCGTGGCCATGTGAGAGCATTTCAAAGGAGAGAGCGGACTCTCCCCACTCTCGGCTGCACCAGGGCATTTGGGGGCAAAAAATAATTTTAAAATAAATACCTATTGAACAAGAGCATTTATGGAACTTTACAAGTGCATGATCACTCACTTAAACAAAATAATTGTTACTGCCGTATAACTTTAGACGAAGGAGAATTTGTGTGAGCAATTATCAAGACATTTTAGTCCAAACGACCTTTTATAATTATAGCAGACGTGCTAAAGAGAAGAACCTAAGAAATTGTTCTCTTCTACATATTTCAGTGTCGTGTGTTTTATTAATAAACTTGTGTTTAACAAAGTTCCTGTTTTCCTCATCAGGATGCAGTCCCATGGAAGCCGGTGACCAACGACTGATTCATACACCATTTGTTCCCTCAGGATCCTGGAGCCCATGTGCACCATTGGTTTGGAACCAGGGTTTCCGAACTCCCCTGGGTAGACCCTCCGTGTCCAACAACCCAGTTATAGCGCTGGACATTCGCTTTTCGTCCTCTTAATTTCGTAAACAACACATCAAGATAGCCATGACTTATACATTGTTAGACATCCTAAACACCAACTGACCAGTGAATAATTAATTGACATTCTATTTAATTTGCAAATTCTACCTCAACCAACTGAGATTATTAGCAACTATCTGTTATGAAGATGTCAGTAAAACATAGCTTAACATACCTGATGAAAAACATATATGTAGTAGGGCTTGAGAAAAAATCTCTAACGGAAGTCGCAATCTAAAATGTAGCGCTCATTCACTTGCTAAATGAACGAGAAAACGACCGGAAGAGCTGTGTACAATGATAAAGATGTGGATAACATGAGGCCAGAAAATTAAAATAAATAATAGGTAGTTGGTTAATCATCAACTTACATTTAATCGATATAATTTACGTAATTCAAATGGACAAAAATCTACTTTACGATCATTATCATTTGAATATTGCTCCAATTGTCTATTAAAATCCCCACGAACTAACTGAAGGGCTAAATCGATTGTCAACAGATGATTGGATGACCTGTTTAATAATGATTGTTGTGAATCCAATACTAAATTTATGGAAGTGGATTTTAAGAATACAGTAATTTTGAAGATAATAATAACAGTAAGGTCATTCACTTTTTCATATAAAAAGTACTAAACATCAGAAATTACATGTGAAAACCAATGTAATCACTTCCTAAGTCCAAAATATTGTCCATTGACTGACTGTATGTAACCAATCAACCAAGCTAATAAACTATTATTACATGTAAATAGGGGAGGTTTGAGGAGAATGTAGAATTTTGACAGTTTAACTCACAAACTGATCTTACCTAGACCACCACTAAAAATCAAGAAGCAATGGACTACCGTTTCGTTCTAGTATGAGATTCTTCAACAGCCCACATCCGCCACTCCACACGTGGGGACCGAAATTAAGGCCTTCAGTCTTATCCACGAACCCTTAGTCAATAGACCAATGAGCCGGCTTCTAACAGGGTTAGTGTCTAACCTTAACCAATTCATGATATAATTATATTATATACGTTAAGTAGGTTTACCCACAGCCAACATCTACCAGAATGTGACATCAAGCAGTGAAGCCATGTCGATAGATGCAGACAACCTAAGGGGGGTGAGTGTGATAAGCACAGCCATTGATTTGAGACACGATTCAGAATCGATAAAAGTAGCACAGACACGTTTAGTCTTTGTTTTACTTTTGGCCTTTCGTTCTAGTTTAGCGGACGCTACTCACAAGATTGTTCTTAAGTTATTATGTCGCGGAACGTGGCGTCGAAGTTGTAACAGACGTCAGACGGAGAGAAGATCAGTACAATGACAGCGCGGCGTAGGCAGAACACTTGGAAAACAGACGAGAAGACAGTTCAGATTGTAGAACGCACTGAAAGATGTAAACGAATGATTGAAGGCTGTGTGCATGTATTATGTAAATGTTTCGTAACTTCTCACAATAAACGTAGATTCCTTCCCTTATTACCACCTTTTACACTAATATTCCTTCATACATATCTTATAACCCTGTTTTTTAGAACTACTTTCCCAATCTTGATCTGTTCTCATTATCATTGCTACCACACTATTCTGATTGCATTTGTCATTACACTTGTTGATTTCATCTCATCGGTCTGTTGTGGTGTGCAAATTTTACTTAAAGTAAATCTGTTCAAGGCTGTATATTGACTGACTGAAATAATTATTATTCTCAAATAAACAGTTAATAATGTTTACATGCTTCATTGTAAGTGGTGAGGTTAAAATTAACCCGCACTGTAAGTTTATAATTGTGAGATAAACACCAAACTCAAATTTATTCGCTACAAGTTGTAGTTCATCCTTTATAAATGTAATAACCTTCATTTTTCTTATTGTTACAATGGAAAGAAATAAAGAATCATTGATTAACTCAGGACTTTCATTTTCCATTAGGAACTAAGCATTTATCTGATGATTCATAGTATCTCGGTTGGATATTTCTGCATACAGATGACAAGTTTAATTCACCTGTACATATTCAAATATTTAGTCTGTTGTTCAGTATTTCCATCCCGTAAACACTAATCGGTTGAAATTTAGTAATCAACTGCTGAAGAGAAAACATCGCTTCATTTCAACAATCATTTTAGCGTCATTGTAACACCTAGATTAAAAAAACAACTTAACAACTTAACAGATCTAACGTAGTTCAGATCTGACACACGTTACTCTACCCTGGTAAGGAAAGCCCAGTAAGTCACACTAGTCTTCATACACGTAAAATCTGTTCAAAATTGGGTACAAAATACCCTTACTTGGTAACTAAGCAGCATATTATTTAATTCTTTATGAACAAATAGACATTTCTTAAAAATTGAAATCAAAATCACTTACCGTTACTACGTTGAAATTCAATTAAATCCATAACTGGTATAAATAATGAGAGACTATTTAAATCAAAAAACATTGACCATGGAATGCCTGACCAATTATTAAAATAACTATGATTTGTATATCTTTCATATGATCTATCATTGAACCAATGAGGAAGTGGACCCCAAGGTGGTAAAACTAGAATCCAATCATCACCAGTTAAATTTTTTACGTTAATGTTGTGTAAAGCAAAATCTGGTATTTGACTTGGGTCTCTTAAAAGACTAAAAAAATCGTAAGAATATAAATAAACTGAAAAACATAAATAAATGGGAAACTTTTAACTAGGCTTTGTGCTAGCGATTATAATGTGTGAAAAATTGTCACTTTCATTCATTCATGAAATCAGTTAGTTGTAAGCAGTATGGAACCTGACAAATTTTAGCTGTCACATTACATAAGCACAACAAGAAATTATCAAGGCAAATTTCATGAACTGATGCCACGTTTTATTTTGGCTAACCCTAGCTTTCTTTGACTTTACACCTACACCAGCAGATATCGCGTATAAAGATGAAAGGTTGTTGACCATGTATAATACATATCTCAACCAACTCAGTAGATAAGAATTCACTACCTCATCAACCGCTTTGCCATTTTTACTCAGTAAACTGCATCTAACTTCAGAATGACCCACTTGGCAGTTCCATTTTACTGCGAACTATTTTCAACTAAGAAAACACTATACTTAGACCAATAATTGACAGCTTCTATCTATGCAAGAGATACTTAGACGACACTTTCATTATTTGTGACAAAACTTTCAATGTCAACGACATTCTGGACGAGTTCAATGACTGTCATCAATCAATTAAGTTCACGATGGAATCAGAGTCGGATTCAGAATTCCGCTTCTTAGATGTTTCGGTAAAAAGAAAACCTGACGGTTCCCTAGAAATATTGATGTGTAGAAAGCCAACATGGAATGATCAATACACGAATTTTCAAAGTTGGGTCTCACTGGAGCAAAAGAGGATCCTAATCCACTCTCTCTGTTAGAGGGCGAGACGCATACGTGCCGACGATACAATCGATATCGAACTTGGTAAACTAAGGCAGACACTGATCAACAATGGATATCCACCTAGATTCACTGAAAAAAAAGCTTGAAGCTAAAATAACCATTTTAAAAAGTTTGCACAGCACCAAAGAAGACTTTTTTCATGAACATTCAGTTTAATGAAGATACTGCGGAAAAAATACTGCAATAAAGAGTATTAATATCTCTGAAAAAGTGTTTTATTCGGCTGAACTTCTCATTACCTTTCCTAGTCGGCGTGTGATTTGGAGTTGTGTGAAGGGTATGTTCCCGCTTTGAGCCGAATCAATGTGCATCTATCAGTTTACTTGCTCATATGAAGCAGTTTATATTGGCCCCACAAGACAAGCTCTTTCGAAACGCATCTCCGAACATTACGTTACCTGACTCTTCAAAGAATTACAGGGGTCATTCGAAAGCTCAATCTTGAAGCATTTAATCAATCTCATCCACTCCGCTTCACCAGAAGCCTCCTTCAGAATTATACATACAGTCAGAAGAATTGGCTCGATATGAATGAAAATAAAGAACTTATGTACAGCAGAAGTTATTGCTATCCACCAATTCAAGCTTAACCTTTACGTACAAAAACGAATGAAGTTGGAAAATAAAAGGCGATGGACAATAAATTCGTTCCTGATCTACAACTTTTCAACAATACACCTACGAATTTATAGAGACAGAATATAAGAAGTTAAATTTCGTACATGATATTTTCTATTATCAAGGCATAGTAACCAAAAACAAGTCCCCCCATCAGAAAATAAATAACGTTATACGAAATTCATGCAAGTCTACAAAGTACAAGAAACGAGTCAAATATCCATTATAATAATTAGTGTAAACTTCGTAGTAGTAGGTTACTGGATAAAGCATCAACGGATCCTATGTCCAGACCCCATTCCCTCTTTTTATTGCTTTGGGCAGTTAGGTAGTACCACCAGAACTTACAGTGGCCCACAAAGCTGAGAAAATACACTAGTATTTTGTACATAAGTTCCGTCATGAACTTTAAATAAAACACGTCACACTGAGTTGTCGAGCCATATTTTAGTTTCCATCACTGTTTCTTTATTGCTTTCTTAATCAGCTAAGTGAACATATTCATTGTATGACAATGAAAACAATGTAAATAACTGATACATGTTAGGCACTGTGAATAAATTATCTCCAAACTACTGATTAACCCTAAAAGCAACTAACAAGATAAAATGGTACTGCAGTTTTAAACTAACAGATACTTAGACATTTAATTCCATATCCAAACATCGAGTGAAAGTAAAACAGCCTTCTCATCCTAAAACTTCCATTAGAGGGTCCTTACTTACATTTATGTTGTCATAAAACTATAAACACACTCGCAATTTAGGTCACGGTAAATAAACAGACAAAATATAACGAATATATGAATAAACTAATATCAAAGTTCAACAAGCTAGAGTCATGTTTGCGAAAAATGTAAAAGGGAAGTTATTTGAATATAAAGATTGAAGTTCCTTTGTAAAATATTTTGAATGATGTAATCTTACCAGTGAGAATAATTAAATTACTATCTGAAACGATAGCTCAATCGTCGGAGGACTGAACCTCGAACAATTGATATGAAAGTTTAGACTCAGCCCTGTCTAATTGAATTTAGGCTTACGGACATTATTATTTACATCTATTGAAAAACAATGTATGGTCAAAAGTGAGGTGCGAAATTCCGTACTTATTAAATTACGTTGTTATTTTGCGCAGTTTGTTTTTAACAAAATCACACCTACCGAACTGTATTAGCAACCCGTATATAAACATCACGCCTCAAATTGAAACCTTCTCCGTGAAACACATCATAAAATAAATATCTGAAAAGGTTATTAATGGACACGTGCTCGAAAATGGATTATTTGATACCTTTTGCTGTAAATGCAAAATCTTGACATACACGCCAAAATTATTAGGATAATACAGGATAAATTCATTTGGTGCAGTACTTTAGGAAGACTTGTAGTCGATTGAAGGTTATTATCTACAGAAAAGAATTAGAAACTTATTTTTAGCTAAGGACCAGAACCTTATAACTTGGCGCTTCAGCCATTATCGTAAGCAGTGTGTAGCTTGTCTGTGAATGATTAGGACTTAAAACAACTTTTATGATGTAACTGAGCGAGAATTTGTATCACATTACATGAGGTGTAAAAGGGAAAAAAACTATAGCTTGCCCGAATACAATCATCAACTATACAACAAACAACAAAAGTTTTAAATAATGTGAAAGCGTTTCTAGCCTAGTCTAAATTTCATTGTTTTTTTCTCGGGATTAAACCCGCCTCCATTGAGGCGGACTATATACATATTATTTAGAGCAGCTCAAAGCCTGTAATATTTCATACAAGGGTTGATATTAGTAAATCTATGATAATAATGGCCAAGGCCTTTCATACACAGTCCTTTTCCCGCAAAAAGATTGTGGATTATTTGGAAATGTAAGCAAAATACCTATAATTATAGTTTAGAACCACTATGATATATAAATGAAGTATTGAGATAAATCAAAATTATCTCAGCAAAATCACCGTTCTCGTTGAAGATCGTTCACAGAAAGAGGACACGCCAACCACATCCTGCTTTTATCAGCACAAAGCCGGAACGACATAGCTACGCGTAACAAATTGTTCGAAAAGCCGCATATCGAAGATAACAGTTTCAGTTTCAGTTCGGAAAGAACAGAAGGTTTGATAGATTGCGTTAGTCTTGGCAATAATGGTCTCTCAGTTGATCCAATTTTCTTTTGGAAGAGTAGACGGATAAAGTCTCAAGCACGTGCTGAGATAATGAATTATACCCCTTATTCATTCAATGGAAAAGTCGATAGTCAACTGACAGGAAATTTGTTCTGGCCTTGTGAACGTTTTTGGAGTTTTCTCGTACATTTTCTTTTTTTCAAGACAAGAGAAATGAGGGTATATCAGATGCAAATTTATCACTAAGTGATTTGAAAACTGTAATCAAGTCACCTTTGGTTCTTCGATATTACGGAGGGAATAGGTTTAGCTTGGCCAGTCTAACATCATACGGAAGTTAGCTTAGTTGCTGTTCTTTAAACCTTTCACAAATCTCACTGTCATTTTTATGCAGGAGCTAGCCGCTTGTATGCAGTACTCATCAAAACTAGTGTCCACTTTAATTGAATTTATATCACTTAAAATGATCTCGTGATTATTTATTTTGACTTTACTTTTGTGTACTTATTGCATCAGCGAATACTTGGTCAACTTTTACTCAATTTCTGTCGGTTAAGGTTTGAGATATTTTTACATATTCATTCTCGTGTTACCATTTTTAGTTAGTTTTTAAGGTGGTGTTCTGTACTCTCAAATATATCCAGCCATATTGTCTATTCCCTATGGAAGAAGGAGTGCAATGTGATAAGTGTATGAATTAGGTTGGAGGCATGACCCGACCAAGGAATGTGTGGTGTTTAAATAAATCAATGAATTCTTGGTATTGATGACTGTTATAATTTTGAATTCCAAATACAATACATTCGTTTGTGCTCCACTTGTACTTCTTGATTAAATTGCGTTATTCCTGGGATTACTAGTTTATACTACAGTTCAAATACTTCTGATTATCATAGGTCTTGAAGTTGGTACTCCGTAATTTTGAGTAAAGAGACGTAGTATTGAATAACGCACGCAAAATTCGTGATTCAAATATTCATATTCGACCATACTGGCCACTTGAGAATCCTATCAAGTGGAAGAATGCCCAGACAGAGTTAAAAAGTCGAAAGCTATACGTTGAAACGAAACTTCCGATTAAGGGTTTTCGGGTAGTCAGGTCATGGAAGCCAATGCTCCCGAGACCTGTATGGGTAGAACGTATGATTCCCAAAAACACCTTAAATGTGTGCTACACAAATGCCCGTCGTCTTCGAAATAAAATGTCCGAGCTAAGTTTGGTGGTGGATGAATTAAGTCCCGATATAATTTTTGTCACAGAAACTTGGTTCACTGCAGATATAGACTGTTCTCCCATCATTGCAGACTACATCTGTATCAGAAGTGATAGAGTAATAAGCCGCAATGAATGAGGCATAACGTTATATGTTAGGGAACAATTTCGTGTACAGTCAATCATATCGAGGGCGCACGTTAGTGGTACAAGTGAGGTAGCATGCTGTACAATTAAGTCTAGTCAGGAGTTAGTGAATTTAGTAGAAATATATCGTAGTCCGTGTTGTCTTGCTGACGACTTTATCTTGAGAAACATCTGTTCTTGGAGTAAGGCATTAGGTTTTCCCATCAATGGAAACTTCAAAGCACCACATATCAGCTAGATAGAGCTTACGGCTTCAGGTTGGGGTTTCGATAACGACCTTCTATCAACAATCATTCAGTGTGCACTTGTAAATTTATCGTAAAACTGACACATATTGACTTGAAACATGATCACTCATTGCTGGACCTTGTCCCCACACACCACTGTGAGGTTGTCATCGACATTCAGCGCCTTCCCCCACCAGTGAATAGTGACTACGTTGTACTTTCTATTAAGCTCCGGACACATAGTATAGAATTTGCATCTTCTCCACCCCATCCTAATATCTGGAGAGCCAATATTCCGGCGACCAGATACTGTGCTATCTCGATTGACTGGTCGGTCAATGCTGATGGATCGATCAAAGACGAATGGAATGGGTTTAAGGTTACGTTCGGATCCGTAAATCAATCGTTTATCCCATGGTCAACATGTAAGTTACCACATTGACCTCCATAGATTAATAAGGAAACCCGGAAGCTGTTGAAGCTTGGGAAACACTTGTGGAACTTATTCTTGTCAACAGGACAGGCATCATTTAAATATGCGAATAAAAAAATTCCGGAATATATGTTGAAAGATCATAGCGATATGCCGTACTATTTACGAAAAACAGTGGGCATATGATAGCCGTACATGTCCGAAACGATTGTTTTCGTATGTTAAACGCAGAGCAAAACATAGTGATGGTATTCCCCCATTACTGTTGCGTGAAAGTTCAGATTTACTTGCTGAATAAGATTTGGCAAAACCTAAGACTTTTTCAAACTATTTTAGAGAAGTCTACTTTACTTGTGTTGTTGTAAATACATGTCCCATTCACACCGAGATAACAGCCATAGCACCTATGCATGTGACTGAGGAAACTGCCTTTCCATTAGTCACCAACCCCCGAACCTTGTAAGACACCGGACCCTGATGGGTTGCATCCACGACTGCTATAATCTCTGCTAATAATGACTGCTATAATCACTCGCGACAATCTTCAATATGTCCCTTTCACTCGCTCAACTACCTAGAGATTGAAAAGACGCTATAGTCAATCTCGTATCTAAGGCTGATCAGAGGCAGATCGTATCTAACTACCAACCTGTCAGTCTAACTAGCATAATCGTTATGTTATTTGAATAGATAATTCGGGTTAAGTTACCAAGTAACATAGATTCGTACAATCTGTTAACTCCCGAGTAACACGGGTTTCGAAACATGCATTCATACTTGACTAACTTATTGCAAGACAGGGTTTGACAGCAGCCCTAAGTAATGGTTTGTCTGTCGATGTGATATTCACAGAATTTAGCAAAGCGTTTGATAAGGTTTCTCGCTTAGGTCTTATGCAGAAGCTCTGGAGCTTCGGAATAACAGATGCTGTGCGGTAAGGGATGGGAAACTTCTTACGTGACCGCAGGCAGAGAGTAAGGGTCAATGTATTTCTATCCAACCGAGGGACGGTCAATAGCATTGTACTCAAGGCACTGTCTTAGGACCCCTACTTTTTTCTCTCTACGTCAATGAATTATCACTATTGCTTACGTCGTCGACATTATTATAATGATGTCTGAAGCGTGGACTACCAGTAATATTTCCCACCTACATACATCTCTTCATAACTATTTTCTATATCGAAGTGATAGGTTGAAAGGACGAGGCAGAAGATGCTTTATTTGCGCTCACTCTAGCTTAAACGCACTTATGTGATATGCCTTAACTAAACAAACTGAAGGAATTCGTGTGGATTGTTTTAAAGCCATCAATTTCCATTACCTTTCTGTTCGGCTGTGTCTACCGTCAACCTAAAGCATCAATAGGTTAGATGGCAACATTGTCAGAAATATTCACACTAGTATTATCCTTTCCATTCACAGGAAACATTATTTGTGGTGACTTCAAAATGCCTGAAATTTCTTGGTTGCCAGTCAAGGCACCGAAACGTTGTAAATCATTTACTGAATGTCTTGAGTCTGAAAAGTGGATTTAGTGTGTCAGTAGCCCTACCAGGCATCAAAATATCTTGGACTTAATTTTTACCAGTGGCGTCACCCCCAAAACTTTCCACGTAGCGATCATAACATTCATATATGTAACCTTAGTATAAAAACAACGACCGCTAGATGTAAAACTGCTACGCTTTGTAGAAACTATCACGAGGTCGATCGGAAAACTTCCGAAACTGCCTCAGAAGCACTGATTGGGGAACTTTCTTTACTGCAAACAACACCAAAACATTAACTATTAAATTCTATCAGAACATCACAAATATCTTCAACAAAATCGCACTTTTAGAATAATGGAAGTGTAAGTTTTCTAAAGATCTGTGTATACCAGTCTCAAATCGAAGACGTCCTTAAAGACACTGTACTCGATTTCACAACTTTAATGACTGTTCCTCTTTAGTAACTATGAGAAATATTTGTCTATGCATAGGTAGTACGTACACAAAAGCAGTTGAACAGGAAAATCGTGCTGTCGAACTGAATAACGACTCCTCCCCACTTACCGAACTCCTCCAAAATAAACTTAAACGTGCTAAATCAAAATAAGGAAACGTATATATTAGGGACAAACAAGTATACGAAGATATTAAACTTTGTTACGGAACTACTTATTGAACACTTTTGCTCCTCGTTAACTAACGAAAAACCATTAAATGAACCAGAGCCTATCCCAGTACCGCCCAGTGAAATTTTTGATTTAGACTTCAGTGTACAAAATATTGTCAAGGCAGTAACAGATTTCATCATAGGAAAACAAGCAAATAAAGAGACATAGAACTCGAGATATACTGAACACTAGGAGCCGTGTACAGTTGCCTGAAAATTTCACAGTGCAAACTTACACGTGTGATAGTTATGCTTTTATACTTCTCGAATTCGTGATGATTATATGTTTGCCAGATTGCTCACCGACATTTTCAATGGCGTTATCTAGTGATGGTGAACGCACAAGCAACTGTTCCTATCTTCTAATAGAAATCTCCTTGTATATGGGTTGCCAACCATCAGCAAATTATTTTAGGGATAGTTGTGATTCATTACGAAAGATTATGTAACGTATTCTTTCAAACAAAAACTGGCACTAAACAATTGCAGACGGTAAAGAAACCAAAATCTAAAACGTCACATATAATTCAAAGTTTCAACGGTATTTTCAGTTCCATATTTCGCGATTTACATTTAAAACGAAACGCACACTTAATAATTCTGAAAATGTACTTAAATCTTATATCATTCGAAGCGTCACTCGCTACAAAAGTGCAACCAGTTGGAATAAACTTAAAAACCATAAAAGTATCCTCCTTCTCACATTTCAGGGTTTATTCAATACCATTATTATTCATCTCAATCCATAAAAGACCTTCTGAGTATTGTAGGGCCGGTGGCATATAATGAGTCCCAGCGGAATCGTTCACCGGGCAGGCGACTAAAACTCTGACAGTGTGCCGACAATCATGATCAGGAACAGCCAACACCTATATACCAATCACACAACAAGAACTAGCCCATACAGCTGTGGTTGAAGTATATTTTTCAACTTAATCTTACTTACACATGCTACCCATCGAGGGGGAGCGCAGGCCGAACACCAGCACTCTTCATCCAACCCTTTCCAGGGCAGCCCTTTCCATTTCTTTTCAGTCCCTATTCATCCTTTTCATTTCTGCTTCTATTTCCCAGAGAATTGTGTTCTTTGACCTTCGCCTTTTCCGCTTGCCTTCCGGATTCCAAGTTAGGGAATGCCTCGTGATGCACATTAGTGATTTCCTCAATGTATGTCCTATCAACTTCCAACGTCTTTCCCTGATTTCCTCTTCATCTGGAAGCTGGTTTGTCCTCTCCCATAAAACAATGTTGCTGATGGCATCTGGCCAGTGAATGGTGAGTATTTTACGTGGACAAATGCTCATAAATACTTGTGCCTTCTCGACGATGGATTTAGTAGTTCGCGTTTCAGCTCCGTACAGTATAACTGTTTTAATGTTCGTATTGAAGACTCTTACTTTAATTTTAATTGATAGTTGTGTTTGAGTTCCGAATGCTCTTCAATTGTAAGAATATTGGCCTTGCTTTACAAATCCTTGCATATGCATCTGCATCAGATCCTCCTTGTTCATAAATGATGGTTCCCGGGTACATAAAAGATTCGAAATCTTCCAGGGTTTCCAAATCAAGTGTGACTGCGTTAGTGTTCCAAATCGTCTAATTGATTCGGAGTTATCCATTGTATTTCGTGGTTCCCCTCACATGTGGAGGTATTCATAATCCAGTCACCTAACAGAAGAAAAAGTGGCAGAGTAAGCAGCCTTGTCTGACTCCGATCCTTAATTGGAATGCGTCTGTCAGCTGTCCTCCATGCACCACTTTGCATTGTAGTTCGTCATATGAATTCCGTATAATGTTGACAATCTTCTCAGGAACTCCATAGTGTCCAAGAAGTTTCCATAATGTTATCCTATCCACATTGTCAAACGCCTTCTCATAGTCAAGGAAGTCGATGTGCAGTGACGAGTTCCACTCAACTGATTGTTCAGAGATGATCCATAGTGTGGCGAGATGGTCTGTGCACCACTGATCTCAACGGAATCCAGCCTGTGGATCTCAAAGTTGGGCGTCTGCTGAATCTTTCATTCGGTTCATCAACACTCTGTTTAAAACCTATTATTGTACTGACAACAGTGTGATGCCTCTGCAATTCTCATATTTGCTCAGACCTTTCTTTGGTATATTGATGAAGTGTCCTTCTTTCCAATATGCCGCTGGCATTTGTTCCTCCTCACAAATATCCTCAAATACAAGATGAAGCAGGTTTACAGTTGCTTAAATGTCTGGTTTCAGTGCTTCAGCTCGTATATTGTCAGGTTCTGCTGCTTTACGGTTCTTGATTCGTCTGATGGCTTCGATGTCCGGTAGACTCAATGTACCTGGTCTATTTAGCAGTTCTGCCCCTCCTTCCCTCTGTTCTTGAATCTCCGTGATTGTCTCTACTTTTTTTTCTTGACTGGCCTCTCCAGTTTATTACATCACCCTGTTAGTTTCTTCGTTGTATCATATAGTTGTTTCATATTCCCTTCTCTTACAGCTTTTTCCGCCGTCGTTGCTAGTTCTCCTATGTATTTCTGCTTGTCGGTTTTGATGCTCCACTCTACTTACTTGTTTGCTTCTATCTACTCTGCTTGTGTTCGACTATTATTAATTGCTGTCTCCTTGTTCTTCCTTTCATCAATCTTGTCCAGAGTTCGCATAGAAATCCATTCCTTATGATGATGCTTCTTGCGACGCAGAACCTCCTGACACGTTGAAGTTAATGCTTCTTTTATCCCTTTCCAGTTGTCCTCTATCGTAGTTTCTCCTTCTTTGAGTAGATCATATAGAACTTAAAACTTGTTGTTGAGGGTTATCTTGAATTGGTTGAGTTTGTTAGTATCTCGAAGGAAGGCTGTATTGAACCTTTGTAATGCTGTTTCCCCAGCTGTCCAGTGTTTCTTTCGCTTTAGTTTCATCTTGACTACAACCAGGTGGTGGAGGTGATCTCCTGGTTCTCACATATTACATTGTTATTCTGAAATTTTTACTGATGCAAGCATGATCGATCTGCTTCTGTGTAGTGTGATCTGATGAGATCCATGTAGCTTTGTGTATGCGTTTGTGGGGGAATATTGTGCCGCCTATAACCAATTTGTTGAGTGCACATATATTTGTAAACTTCCCATCATTTTCATTTCTCTCTACCAGTCCATGTTGTCCTATGATATCTTCATATCCTGTGTTGCTCACTACGATAATTCTGGATCCATGAGATTCTCATCCTACAAGTGCATTTCGTGCTTCTGTAAACAGCATTAAAACAACTTTCTGAGTGTGTGGAGCATTTTCCCCTTCGTAATCGGAGTACAGCACCATCTCCCATCTAGCCTTTGCTGTCCAGCTTGTGTCCAATGGGTTTCGCTGATTCCAAGTACTGCCACTTTGTATCTCCTCACTTCCTTTGCTATTTGACTGGTCTTTCCGGTCCCTACATTGTCTGGACATTCCATGTACCTATGAAAGTTGTTGCTCTGGTTGTTAGAAGGGGCATCGGCCTGTTGGCTTCCGATAGAACTCAGCTTTCATCATGAGGCGTCATAATTATTCCTTCAACTCCCACGACAGTTTAAATGGTTTGAATTATTTTTTCTGGTTAGCGTTTTTTAGCGAGTTAGCTTTTCTACGGGATGGGATCGCTAACCCCGTGCTCAACCCTCCTCCTTTACCCGGGTTTGGGATCGGCAGTAACTCTAGAAGCGCTACAGGCGGAGTTTTCAACTTAATCTAGCCAATAAATTTTTCAAAATAAATTCTTGTTACTTTTATACAGTCATCGATGTAGCCTCATTCTCTGAATACCACGAGAGGGTGACTCATGTTAGGTGTTGCAGCGAGGTGTGACCTCAATGTAAGCTGGAGAGCCATATAGTTCCCTCCCAACTTGAGCAGGCTGTGACCTTCCAGAAACATCCCTTACATTGGTCATCTGCTGTATTACAAAGTGGAATGCAACAGTTAGGTTGACTGATACCTCACTCTAATGTGAAGAACCACAGGCGTTGCTGAGTATGCATAAGACAAAATAAGTATCGCACTACCGGTATATTATTTTATTAACTTAAGTACAGTAGGTGTATCTGCTATTTAAGGAGAAGAATGAATATTTAAAACACATTTGTTATATGGCATTTCCAAATTCGTGTAAGTTACTGACTCATACACATTCGGAGCATCTAGAATTGTGCGGTTATTCTTATGCAAATTAAGTTCCTCTATTGACTTTATTAAACTTTGAATAAACTATAGTATTTCTAAAATTGTCAATAATTTTGATGTTTGACCATAATTCCTTGAAAAAGCTTGGACCAGATTGCCAGGCGAAACGTTGGATTTACTACAAATTCATTCGCTGAGATTTTACAAATATATTATTCCTATTCAATGTCTTACATCAACTCGGCGCTCAAATACTTTGAAACTATTCGCTCTAATTTAGACGAGAGTTCTTATATAGTATTTCTACTTTGAAGAAAAAAACTATTGCAAAGGAAAAAATTACAATTATTTGAAATGTCACTCAGCAACAGGCTACCCAGATAATAATAACTCCAAAAAACATGAGAGCCTACACGTGTTCGAACGCTGAATGCATTAAATTTAACTATTCAAGGTCGTTGGGACGAAAGAGCGCAAAAATTCATAGGCATATTATCTTACTTCTGTGCAACGTCCAATTCCAAACACTAAATATTGAGTATGACTGACTTCACTGTTGGCTCAACCGGTAGTCTCTGTGAAACACCGATTCAATGGCCAATGACTAAGGCCTCTTATGAATTCGGGAAGTCTATTGGTTTGTTTTTAAGCCTTACCTCACAATAAATTCAGGTCAGGGTGCTACTTCTACAGTGTTTGAAGCTCTTTGTCCCTCAAATGGAAAGAAATGTGCGATCAAAATAATCAACCTTGAGAAATGCAGCACATCTGCGTCGTTAGAAGAAATAAACGTAGGTTATAGCTTCAGTTTTATCCAAAACTGAATTAGAGAGAAATAAAATCCATGAAAAATATGAAAAACGAGAATATAGTAGCATACTATGCTTCTTTCGTTGCCCAGACAGAACTTTGCATCATCATGGACCTATGCCAAAGAGGTTTGTAGAGTTGTTTCGTAAACATTTTTATGATTGATAGTAATTGTAATGATTGGTGGTGTGTACTTTACTCATTTTCAATGATGATAGTAATAATGCTTGTTCTACCTGACGATATACTCAGTAGGTAGTTTTCAACATAATTTTTTCAACTGTGGTCGATACATCTATCCAATAGCTGTAATATATTTTTTAGATCCCCAAGATGGGATTTTTGGTGAGACTATAATTTATGGACGACCTTTGAGCGACGCTAAAGTAACCTTGGGAATGTCTTACTAGAACTAAATAGGGTATGTAAACATGTAGGAAGAATACAAATTATGATTTACATTTTGTGGAATTAGATTTAGAGTTTTCATCACGAACTGACATCAGGTAAAATATCAAAAGGCTATTTAGCTAATTGGATAAGTGAATTTTATGCCAATGGTCCAAGACTTGTTTTCCTAAGTCCGATAGGTTCGTCTATAAATTATAGTTTCGCCTCAGTCAGTCAGTAACAACGTTGAACTTCGTACGTACATCAGTTCGAGTCGCCATACCACATTAGCAAAGAGGTGCAGTTGTCGATTCAAATCCCATAGTGGTAGGAGTAGTAAGAGTATAAGCATTATGTGAAAGATAAGGGTTTGAAGATGTTATTCAAGGAGTATAATCCAATGAAATAAATTTGGAAAAAGAAGATAGATACATGAAGAATTCAGAATATTAGAATTTTGAAGAACATAAGGAGTGGATGCACCTTCGCTTTGCAAACGATTTTGAGCCATGTCATTCAGGGTCTCTAAACATCGATTGCTATCATCTCGCGGATCCCAACCAGGTAGTCTACACCTACCAACATGACTCAGTCCACTTGTCAGTGACTTCATGGATTTGTGCCATATTTTGATCTGACCGCCCCTAGCCTTCTTCCAACCTACTCCTACACCATAGTTTTGCCTAGTTTCTATATTATGCGATATAGATTCACGTGTTTTTTATGAACCTGAAATCCAGGCTTGATTAAAGTAAAATCCCTAAAAAAATATAAAGAGAAAAAACTCACTTTACTCGGTGAGTTGTATGCGAAAAGTAATGGACATATTCGCTTCATAGAATAGATGACTGGTATAACTCTAGGAAAACGTCCTGCTAGTAGCATAGCTTTTTTAATTTGGTGTAAGTCATATAGGTCTTACGTTTTCTGTAACACTTCGTGTTCAAATGTCAAACCTTTTGTTTAGATATAGACAGCTAAAAGGTTAAATTCCTTGTGATGAAACTTTTAGACATGTCATATCTTAAAGTAACAATCCTTAGCACTGTTTTTTCAAGCTTGCTTTGGCGCTGACCAGTGGAAGTCGACTAAGGATATGGAATATAATAATGGAGTCAGTGAGACTCATAAAGTAGGGGCCATGCAGACCAGATAGTTAGAGTGATTTGCAAAACCTTAAGAAATATTTGGACTGGTTTTCAACTATACTTCGGCCACACTACTGACCAGCAGTCTAAATCTAAGACGAACGTTTTCGGGGTCTGAAAAGATTCCAACTTACGTGTATCAGGGGTCTTAGTTTACATATATTTAGAGATACGTGTTTATTTTTGCTATGGGGCTGTGGGTCAGTGGTTAAATCACTTAGGTACCAATCAGTATGTCTCATCGTAATCCGCTCCACATACTCCGAATTGAGCGACTGGTTAGTATCACTAGCTATCAAACAAAGTGGCTTCAATTTAGGTACATAACATGTACTTGACCAATATGCTACATAAACCTTTGTTGGTTATAATTTAAGGATAACTTGATTTCCCGTATTTTGCATTTCATAAAAAACTGGAATCTTTCTATGATAACCATAAAGGAAAGATGTTCACTTACATTTTAAATGGTCCTTTATAGTCATTTGACGCTCAGTTGGATCTAGAGGAACCCAAACAAGGCTTATACCTGGTTATGAGTATATCAACCAAGTGATTACTTTTTATCAGGTTCTAGAAAACTAACTTTTTTTGACTTAAAGGCGTGTGACTTCTATTGAAATGTATATATTTTTCATAGGCATACATCTAGAGACAATTTTCTGTATTCCCAGAAATTAATATATTCCTTTAAGACCCTTTCATCACCTTTGAATACACAAACAAGATTGTTTAATGAGAATTTTGATATAATGAGTAATGAAAAACACCTAGAGTGACTATAAAAGATGTCAATATATCCATTACCGATGCTCCATGATCCTTCCGAATCATTATTTAGTTTGACAATGAAAATTGTACTATCCAATTAAGTTTCATCAATCTTAATACAATGGTAGCTATAAAAATCCTAGTATTTATGTAAAAATTAGTTTGAATTTTGCCGGACTAAGCCACATATTACCCCAACAAGATGTCTATGTACAGATATAAATAATGCGGCTGATTAGTATTACTGTATATGTACCATAACCTTTCAACATGAAAACGCGTAATTTGTAAGTATTTGTTGAAAGGTGTTTTTGAAGCATTTCTCACCTAATACAAAGTATCCCAAAGAGTAATGTTAATGCTAGATTCAGTGTATTAGTTAGTAAATATGGTAATAAGATTGTTATTATTCATCAACTGAGATGGTTAGAGCAAGTTAAACAAACCTATCCATATAGGGGGATTATAGACAAAATAAAGATTATCAGACGTTTAGTTTGACCAAACTACTTAGTCTTAGACCAAATGATTATAATAACCATAAAATACCAAACTTTCAAATAGACTCTGATTAGCCTTTGCTCATATATATAGTGTCAAGCTGGTTTGGAAAAAAAAGTTGAGAGCGAATAAACTATGACGTTGTTTAATTTTTATCCGACTCCAGTATGATCAAACAATATTGATGCTAACGAAATATATACTCTGTTTACTTTGTATATGTTTTGTCGACACACTCTCTAATAATAACGTAGATATAAAAGCCGAATTCGATACTGTTTGAGGGAAAAATATTTCAGATATTCAACAGAGAGACAAAACGAAATACATTTGAACTTTAGTGGTCGAAACAATCTACTCATTGAATGACGGGTGACTCAGTACTTACAAGCATGAAAGTGATGTAAGCAAGTATGTAGGCACATACATACAACCATACACACATCCTCAAGTTCACATTTATAAATGACAGAATAACTAGAAAGGTTAAAATAATTCATCCGTCCTATGGTTATTTTTTTTGGAATAAATCACGTAGGCGTGTACCAATACTAATTACCACAATGGTACAAGTTTATGAAATCAATGACTTAAGTGGTATGGGAATGGTTACTTTTTATGATCAGGGTTCTGAAGATAGTAAAAATTAGTAGCTGGACGTCTTTCAACGTTTCCTTATCTTCTAAATCTTTTCGTTCATTCCTATTCCTTACCGTTTCTTCCATTTTTCCATCTCTTCCAACTTTCCATTTTTATACTTCTGTCAAATATGACAGCTAGATTTTTTGCATTCTGTGTTTATTTATGTTCGTCTTTGTTGTATACTTGTGCTTACATCATCTCTTCTAAATATGCGTTAGTCACTTAAGATATAATCCCATTAAACGTTAATTTATTATTCAATCTAGATAATAAATTCACTAAAGACTTTTCTTCGTAAAAGATCATTTAAACCTTAATTTTGGTGTATATGTATTGGTCTTCTAAAACCAAACAAAAGATAATTTGCATATAATTATCCCGTTTCTGTCGTTTGAGTTCAATTATGTTCGTTATTATGTAGAATTCGACGAATTAAAAATTATAGTTTGATCGGCTTCACATTTAATTTATTCAATAATTTCATCAATCAACATAAGTAGTTAGTAAGTATTACCTTTAACACTGGTAATCTGCACTAATTTATACTAAACGTTTCAGTTAATCAATACAAACTTATTATCGTAGTGCAGAGGTTAAAGTGTTTGGCTCTCACCCATTAAGCCACAGGTTCAAATATCACTCGTCTTGCTTGTTTGTGGAAAAGACCAAATTCATTGGCTATCGCACTTAATGCCGACAAGCTGGAAAGAAGGACATCTCATCAATATACCAAAGAAAGGTCTGAGCAAATATGAGAATTACAGAGGCATCACACTGTTGTCAGTACAATAATAGGTTTTAAACAGAGTGTTGATGAACCGAATGAAAGATTCAGCAGACGCCCAACTTTGAGATCCACAGGCTGGATTCCGTTGAGATCAGTGGTGCACAGACCATCTCGCCACACTATGGATCATCTCTGAACAATCAGTTGAGTGGAACTCGTCACTGCACATTGACTTCCTTGACTATGAGAAAGCGTTTGACAATGTGGATAGGATAACATTATGGAAACTTCTTGGACACTATGGAGTTCCTGAGAAGATTGTCAACATTATACGGAATTCATATGACGAACTACAATGCAAAGTGGTGCATGGAAGACAGCTGACAGACGCGTTTCAAGTAAGGATCGGAGCCAGACAAGGCTGCTTACTCTGCCACTTTTTCTTCTGTTAGGTGACTGGATTATGAATAACTCCACATCTGAGGGGAAACACGGAATACAATGGACATCTCAGAATCAATTGAACGATTTGGAAACGCTAGAGGATGTGGAATCTTCCACTTACCTGGGAAGCATCAATAATGAACAAGGAGGATCTGATGCAGATGTGAATGCGAGGATTTGTAAAGCAAGGCCAATATTCTTACAATTGAAGAGCATTTAAAACTCAAAACATTTATCAATTAAAATTAAAGTAAGAATCTTTAATACGAATGTACCAGAGCATTTGGGGGCATCTGAGCGGAAACACGGAATACAATGAACAGGATGGATGCAAATAATTTATTTGGACTTCGCGAATGACCTGACCCTTCTAACGTTACACACGAGCAAAAGTAAGTAAAGACAATCACTGTAGCAGCAGCCTCTACATCATTAGGCCTCAGTATACACAAGGAAAAAATCGATATCCTCAGATTACAATACAGAAAATACCAACTCAATCACATTTGATGGAAAAACTTTGAAACAGTTGGAAACTTTCACGTACTTACCCGGACAGCATCATCGATGAACAAGGAGGATATGATGCAGATGTTGAGTCAAGGATTGACAAAGTAAGGGTAGCATTCTTACAGTTAAAGAACATATGGAACTCAAAGCAACTGTCAACCAACATCAAAGTCACAATCTTCAATGTGAAAGCCGAGTCAGATAGTTCTACTATACGGAGTTGAAACTTGAAGAACTATTACAACCATCATCATTGTGAGCGACCTATGATCCTCCATGAGGAATAACAGGCGAAAGTAAGTAATCGCATTTGGTGTATTATGGCAGCTTGAACCGATGTACACATATCTTAGGTTCTACTTTGTGTTTGAAAGATTGTTTATTTTGAGATTAAGTACATTAATCTATACACCTGATAAGTGAGCAATAATAAAAATCATAATGCAGGATCGTTTACTAGATAAGTACAACCAAAGGTAATTGTGTATTATCAGACGCCATTGATGTAACGATTTGTGGGCTTGTAGGTTACATCTATTTTGGTGCCCTTAATAATCTGTTTATGATCTTGGATGTGTTCCCTATCTTATCTGTTTGTTGACCTTTGTTGCTAATTTTGTGTTTGTTAATTGGTTCAATGAACGTTTCCTGATGAAGTCTGGGAAGCCATTTTCTCAAGGATTCAATCTTTTGATAGATTTGATTTAATGATAGGTCATAAAGTTGTGGCGTTGGATGATACCATCGCTTTGACTTTGGTGATTTTGATACCTTGAATCTCTTTAATATTATCTAATATTTATTTTTAAACACTGACTATATATGTGGTCTTTAAATCAAAATAATAATTTTCTCTATAGGATCATTGTTGGATGTTATCAAGTATACACAAAATAAACGAGATATCACTTATGGTGTATTCGATGAAAATACAATTGCTACCATTCTACGTGATGTCCTACGTGGATTGGCGTATATTCATGAAAATGGTTTAGTTCATCGGTGAGCATTTCTAATTAATACTAATCTTCCAGCTATCATTCGATTTTATTCTTACATAAGATTTATTTATTTATACACATAAATATTGGTACAAGGGGGTAACAGATACATATGCGCCGCACAAATCTCATTCGATTTGTGTGAGGGCTGTGATACTGCCCAGGTGCCCGAACTGAAGCAGGTGGTTTTCTTAGGGGACCACACCCGGAGCCTTTGACCGAAAGATCTGTTCCACAAGGCAGTGGAGCATCGTAAGGCGATGCAGTCCCATGGTATCCGGTGACCAACGATTGGTTCGTACGCCATTTGTTCCCTCAGGATACTGGAGCCCATGTGCACCATTGGTTTGGAATCAGGGTTTTCCAACTCCCCTAGGTGGACTCGCCTTGTCCACCAACCCGGTTATAGCGCCGGACATTCGCTTTTCGTCCTCTCACTTTCGTGAACAACACCCCCGCCACGAGAAGGCAGTGAGTAGAACTTCCCTGGCAGAGGCTATATATTCGCTGGCCATATGAGAGCATTTTGGGAGGGAGAGCAGACTTTCCCCACTCTCGACCGTACCAGGGCATTCTGGGGGCTCTTACATAAGAACTAAAAAGTAACTATAATACTAACTGTAATATGTAAGAAAATGGTAAATTAACTTCTTGTCTCACATACAGTCATAGTTTACTTCGAAAAATAATTTATTCATATATATATTTGATTTGCTCAGCCAACTGTTTTGTACTTTTTTTGGCTAAATATTGACTTTTTTATTGTTAGCTATTTTACATTATAAATGATTTCAATAAATTTTATCTGAATTTTAAGTTTCAATGTCCCACAATTCATCAAAAATGTACTAGGCTTTGTTGTAATGATAATTAAATAAAATCTGCAACAGTAAGTCTCAAATTCGAACTCAACTCACCCTACTTTGATTCAGGGAGTCGGTTTGAGTATCATTAGTCCTCACAAAGTTTATTTTAAAACAGAACTTTGATCTGTATACTTGGTAAATGAGTGTCAATACTCAATAGAGTTATTGACTGTTGATCTGGATCATATTGGTAGATGTTTAGAGTGCACATGATAACCACGATCAGCGATGGTAACGTTGGGTGGAATCGCTCAAAGCTGATCAGCGGAGTAGATGCATTTACTATTTACTGTGCTCTTGTTATTCAGTTCTGGCATTTCTTCATACATACTTTTTCATTATATCTTCTGGAACTATATTCTCAATGTTTAGTCTTTCTCACCATTACTTTTTCGAACTCCTTTTATAATTCATCTTGTTACCTTTATTTTGATGTACTAATATGGCATACCAACCTGCGCTAACGCAAATCTATTAACGTTACTAAAACTGTATTGGCCTTAGTTAGACAACTACTGAGAATCAAGAAGTACTGGGCAACTGTTTTGTCATATTACGGGACTGTTTACCAGTGTATATCTACGATTCGACCGAACCCAGGACCTTCATATCTCGTTGGAAATGTAAACGGTTAGATGATTCATCAAAAACCTGAATGTGCTGGATTCAATCCACGATATTATCATGCATGTGCGCTACTGAAAAGTCTCATAGTAGGAGGAAGCAACTATCCAGTGCTTTTAAGCTTTCATTAGTTCAACTAAACGCAATCTCTGATATAAATTATAAAATCTAACAATCTCTACAACTCTTCCCCATAATGATAATATTTTGTCCCCCATTATGCTCATATTAATTTGTTGGAATAAGTAAATCGATACACACTTGTACCGGATCTTAAGTCAGCTATCACTAGCTAAATATAGATATGTAATAAAAATATTTTTGACAGCTTTTTGCATATGAATACATTGAATATCAACCTGCTTCAATTGTTTGCGTACACAAATGAATAGGCTTCATTGTTCATAGCTGGATAATGTCAATTGAACTCAATCGTCTATTGGTACTGTAGTGAACAAAACACGGGTGGGGACAATCGAATGTATTTAAGAACGAATTACAGACCATCTCACTAAATTCTGATAACCATACAGTAAACAGTTAATTTGCAAAAAAGCAACAAGATGTCTCAATCTTAACTGTTCCTTCAGCAAATATCAAACCATCTCTGATTTCATTGTTTATGCATTTTCCTACCAATTGCGCTTCATTTCAGTTCTTTCCTTATCGGTCTTCTACCAAAATACATTCTATGTCTGACCATCACCATATACTACTTATATAGATATAAGTAGACCACACTACAGTATTAATTCTTAAAAACTCTGATTAAAATCCATGTACATTATGGTAGATAACTTGATAAAGTATCCCTGTCTTTTTTATATGAATTATCTTATTTCCCTTTTTATTCTCTACACAAAATATCATTATTCTTAATTAAATACAGAGATTTAAAATGTGGTAATTTATTAGTCAAAGATGATGGAATAATTCAAATAGCAGATTTTGGAGTTGCTGGATTTTTAGCTACTCAACCACTTACTGCAACTGGTAGTGTTGATCTAAGACGGTATACATTTGTTGGTACACCTTGTTGGATGGCTCCAGAAGTTATGCAACAAGTATGAATATAATGATTATTGTCATTTCTCTTTCCTTTAATAACATTTAATTATTGAGTGATTATATGTGTGAATTTTAATTTGATCAAAGTTTTTATTACATAAAACTGTAATGTTTTGTTCTATAAGCTAGATGACTTGGTCGTGGAGCTTTCATCGTCCTTCTGAACACGACATCATCAGCACAAACTTCGGGTAGAAGTGAAGTGTTCGAATTTCTTCACATGTGGTTCAGTTTGTCCTGTGCACCTCGATGTTGATTGGTTCTTGTTGATCTTGAGTCTGTCATTGTTTACTTCTTTGTTTTGTTTGTATCTCCCATTGGTTTGATTTTCGTTCATATGCTTCTGCATAATTTTCCTGATTGATTGATAAATTGGATTGATTTCAATATGTTTGTTTATTGCTGATTGACCTGAGTGTCAAGCTTCTCAAAATTCTCTGGTGTTTTTGGAATTGCCTCTATCCAAAATCACGATTTTCCAGTCGAATGTGTGTCCGCAGTTGTCCACGTGCAATAATATACGTGAAGACATATCATGGCGTTCGACTGCTAATTGATGTTCATGCAGGCGAAGATGAAGAGGGCGTCCGCTTTGTCCGATGTAGTGTTTGTCGCAGTTGACACAGTTTATTTTGTAGATGATGTTTGGTTTGTTTTTGTTGGTTTGTGGGCAGTACCTATTCCGAAGGTTTGAGCAGTCTCGTTGTCTTTTCTGATAAACCTTTTATGTTTGGTGAGGTAATCCTTTTGTTGATTTCTACACTTGACTTCGTTTCTACTGATGGGTGCGGCTGGTATTTTTTGATGAAGTTGATTGGGCAGCCGTTCTTTTGGAGGATGTTTTTCAAATATTTTTCTTCATTTTCCCGTGCTGTAATTGTGTTGCAGTGTGTCCTCGCCCTCTTGAACAAAGTTTGTACACAGTTGATTTTGTGAGCTCTTGGGTTGTTGCTATTGTAGTTGAGAATTCGATTGGTGTGGGTCAGCTTCCTGTACACTCGACTCTTCAGTTTACCTGTGTCGATTCTGATGATTAATATATCCAAGAATGATAGCTTGTCGTTCGACTCCTGTTCTATGGTGAACTTGATGTCATTGAAGACGTTGATCAGCCTGTAGGTGTTTATTAGTTCATCCTTTTTGACGATAACGAATGTGTCGTCTACACAACCACCATCTCAAAACTGTAATTCACACTATGTCAGCGTCGACTGATTATGAAATGTTAATAGATGCCTTTCTTTTTTACCTTAATAAAGTAGTAAACCGAACTCCAACGTCATAAAATATGAGTAGTAGCTTCAGAGAAAAAAAATTTATAACCTACATCTCAACACCTCATATTCACTTACGTTTCTAATTATTAAATCACAATGTTTTTATTGATTTCTTGTTGAAACTGCACCATCGTTCTTTGACTATCTCTCTCTTTCTAACTATAACCAAACAGATCAAGAATGTTATTATCAGAAGGGGTTTTTGTGGAGATTTAGTATTTTCATAGTTGAAAGCGTGAGTCAATTAAAGCTAGACCACCAGGGAAAACCTGGAAGCACTGGACGGCCGTTTCGTCCTATTGTGGGGCTCCTCAGCAGTGCGCATCCACGACCTCGCTTAAAACCACGTCTGTTATGAGATAGGAACTCACTGAAGACAATTGGTAAACGGTTGCTCAGCTTCGTGGATTGGTTGAAGTTAGATATAAACACCATGAGATGCCGGCTCAGTGGTCTAGAGGTTAAGTGCTCTGGTGCGAGACTGGTAGATCCTGGGTTCGAATCTCTTGAGGCGGGATCGTGGATGCGCACTGCTGAGGAGTCCCACAATAGGACGAAACTGTCGTCCAGTGCTTCCAGGTTTTCCATGATGGTCTACCTTCAATTGACTCATGCTTTCAACTATGAAAAAAATGAATTGGCAATAATGAATAAGTTATGTAAAATATAAAAAAGTTAAAAATCTAAGTTTTCAATACTTTTTTTACTGACTGTTTAGAATGATAGTTCTAGAATGTTTACGATGATAGTATTACATAATATGACAAATTTGCTTTAAGAAGTATGGAATGAAATTAAAGATATGTGGCTTTCACATTCCGATTATAGCTTATTAAAAAAGGGGTCGAAATGCTTAATTTACTTCTGTGTACCAAAGAAGTTGTAGATTAATCACTTGCTCCTTTGAAACACAAAGGTCCAAATTAACCTCTCTGGTTGCTACAGCCTCTACAGATAAGATTAAATTGGACTAGTTTTTAACGAGTTGGTGTTGACTTTATCCAATGTGTCTAGCAGGTGCTGTGTACTGTTACTTCTGAACAATACTCACCTATGACTGCTTCATCAGGGGTCAAATACACACTACTAGATCTGACGACGAACAATTGACCTTTATATTACTGAATTAGAATCTGATGAGTAGTATTTTCAACTTCAATGAATTTGTAAAATAGCGTGACGATCATTCCATCCATCCTTCGATGAATAACTCACTCCCAATATAATTGAATTTCATCCGTCATAACCCCTCTTATTTGAACCTCATTAACTGATCTCGGATCAAGATTTTTTTTTTAATTGTACCATTATTTATTTTAGTCTCATAAAATTAACTTATATATGTTATATAAATGTTAAATTGCCCTTATCTCCTGATTATAATTCCAATTCAATAGAATAATGTAATTTAACTATTTCCAGGCTCGTGGTTATAATCAAAAAGCAGATATATGGTCATTAGGTATTACAACTATTGAAATGGCAACTGGTCAAGCTCCTTATGCAAAATTCGCACCAATGAAGGTAATTTTATCATTTATGTATTATGTAATCCTTATTAATCTAAAAAATGTATCTGGCTGTACACTTAGAAATCCATAATTATTGTAATACAGTTGTAATCAATGTATTTGAATGAAATACATAATAATAAGAAGAACAGACACCCACCCAATCCCAACCATAGTCGTGTTTCCCGACTCTAGGACAACATCTGACTCCGCGGATCAACAGGTTATATGGCATCAACGAAGTGTATTAATCTTGTACAGGCTCTACCCGAACGCCTCTGACCGAGTCAGAGCTCATGGCTAAATGTTATCGGGACGTAACATTGTCAGTGGTAATATTAAACATCACACTTAAGGAAATATAATTCGAGTGGAAACTATGAGTTTATCAAATATAAGGTGTAAGTATTTTTCTAAGATTAAGAGACAATACACCTGACCTATTTCAACTGATGAATGTAACACATTAAAATTTTGTTTTTTTAACTATTGATCAATCACTTCTATCTTTTCTCTCACTTTCATTCCGTTCCCGTAATTCTTTTCAATAAAAGGTACTAATGCTTACATTACAAAATGATTCACCGGATATTGATAGTGTTGCAACTGTTAACAATCAATATTTAAATTATGGACATAAATTTCGTAAATTCACCAAAGCTTGCCTTATGAAAGATCCAGGTCAACGTTTATCCGCTCGTGAATTACTTAGCCATACTTATATCAAATCGAAAGCGAAGGTAATCTATATTGAAGTGGCCTTATTAATTTTTATAGATCATCATTATTATTACTGTAATACTAAATTCATATTTAGTTCGTTCATACTAACGATTCCTGTTCTAAAAACTCGGTAAAAAATTGTTTAAATATATTATAAATATTAAGGTTCTACGATATATGTATATACATAATTCTTGTTACCCCTTGTGGAGCACAGGCCGCCAACCAGGATTCTCCAACCAACTCTCCTTTCCAGTTGTTGCCAAGTACTACTCATTCTTTTAATACCTGGCTCAGTTTGTTCTTTGTTCTGGCTCTTCTCTTTTTATTTTGAGGATTCCAAGTTAAGATTTGCTTTGTGAAGCATTTTGGTGATTTCGGCAATGTTTGTCTTATCCACCTTCAATGTCTTTTACAAATTTCCTCTTCAGCTGGATATATATTATTTAATATGCTCTAATAACCAGTGGGAGCTGTTATGAATTACTGGACATTATCCCGTTTCAAGAATCGGAATAGTACTAAGGTTTAGAATGTAACCATAGTAATTGTTATTCTGTCAACAACGCTGTGAGGTCCATAGTTTATTTATTTATTTAAACACATAAATATTGGTACAAGGAAGCACCAGATAAATATGCGCCTCACAAATCTCATTCGATTTGTGTGAGGGCTGTGATACTGCTCAGGTGCCCAGACTGAAGCAGGTGGTTTTTTTGGGGAGCCACACCCGGAGCCTTTGACCTGAATGTCTGATCCACAAGGCAGTGGAGCATCGTGAGGAGATGCAGTCCCATGGTAGCCGGTGATCAACGGTTGGTTCGTACGCCATTTGTTCCCTCAGGATACTGGAGCCCATGTGCACCATTGGTTTGGAATCAGGGTTTTCCAACTCCCCTAGGTGAACTTTCCATGTCCATCAACCCGGTTAAAGCGCCGGACATTCGCTTTTCGTCCTCTCACTTTCGTGAACAACACCGCCGCCACGAGAAGGCAGTGAGTAGGACTTCCCTGGTAGAGGCTATATACGCGTGGCCATATGAGAGCATTTTGAGAGGGAGAGCAGACTCTCCCCACTCTCGACCGTACCAGGGCATTTGGGGGCCATATACAGACAAGTTTGCCTGATTCACTCTCATTACAGAATCTAAAACTGTGTGTCTTCAATTCACTGTTCTGCGACTGCTTTTCGATTGTTATCAGTTTCCATGTTTGGTAATTGGAAACAGTCTATAGGGAGCTATGGACCTAGATTTCGTGATGGTCAGCACTTGTCCTTAATTTGTAATTGCGATCTTGAGGAAACTTATGCTCCCTTTTAGATTAGGACCAACTTTTGCTGTCTATAAAAAGTTACCTATTTTGGGGCCACAATGTCGAGTCACTCAGACTAGTTACTATATTGCAACTTAATCGATATGATTCAACCAGCATTAAAAAAGACTAGATAAATATGACACTGGTCACTACTCAGTGACTTATCTATGTCATCAATTTCCCATGTAAACTATCATGACTTAACGCAAGCGATGTGAGTTTGTATTCGTCGGGTACACTTCTGTATGCATTGCTTATCCACTACTCTGCTTATCAAGTGTATATTTCTTGGGAAAACCCTTTCCCATATTTTAAAATATAAACAACTTTGGGTTATATATAGGTACAGCTTTATTTATAGATGTAGGCTTCTATAAAAGGTTTCCAACATTCACACTTTAAATAATTCATTATTAGCATTTATATTTATATTCAATTATTATTATTATTATTATTATTATTATTATTATTATTATTATTATTATTATTATTATTATTATTATTAACATTATTACTATTAAAGGATCGAGAATTACTTTGTCGAGTTCTTCTTGGCGGTGAGATGCCACCTCCTATTACCCGTGTCAATAAACACCCAGATGATCGATCAGAAAAGCGTGATCCTAAAGTACGTGTATTTGTGCTTCTATGCTAAACTGTGTTATCCCTTATTTTACTGACTAACGAGTATTTTATATCATAACAAATGAACTGTAACTAACAGTATAATCCAGAACCCACGTTTTCTTCTGCTGGGGACACATCTGCTGAGTCCAGTTAGCCACTAACTTGTTCAACAATTAAGTTGTTTACACGACTATTAGAAAGGGTTTGAACTATCCCGCCGTTGATATTAAAACCTTTACTATTAATGGTGCAAACACAATACTCGTTAAACACGTTAGTGGCTATCTAGACATAGTGGTTCAGCGGATATTGTATTCTTTGTAAAAAGAAACAGTTTCTGGATTACACTACCATCTACAGTCTGTCTATTCTATAAGACATTTGAAAAAAAACAGCTTTATCTGTACAGGACACCCATATCTCAACAAAGACTGATCACAACTCTGTCTTGAGTATCAGCAATCGGAAAATCCAAACCTTATCATTAATGATATAATTTATAAAAGATTCTATTTCTTTGCATTGATATTATGTTGTTATTGTTGCCGACATTGTCGTACACGTTTACTACCCTCTGAGATCGACGCTTCTAAACGTTATATGTCTTTCACTGTGATAATTGAAATACAAAGGAATTGTGAACTGGAAGAATCATACAAAGTGTGAAGGACAAATGATGTGTTCAGTGTATGATTCTCATATTTTACTAAGATATTCTGTAATTTCGTATTCAAATATATTTGGTTGTCCTTGCCCGTATTCTCGTTCACAACACTTACTCTCTGTGACATTAATTCTACTACTTAGTGTTTCATTCCTGCTATGTTGAGATACTACAACAACTTGGGTTGATGGACATTCGTTCTAGCTTCTTACATTGTTTATGATTAATTCACTGTTGTCTTTCATTTTCATATAACTTAAATGTTTTCTTTAACCTGTTGAGGATTTTTCTTTTAAGGTGTAATAGTCATAAACTGCCGTCAGTACTAATAATAACTTAGTCATAACATTAAATGCGCGAACTGGATCACCAAGGCTGTTACCTATGGACATAATGGAACAAACAAATAGTCCCATTGCATTTTAATCAGTTTAGTCACGATGTCCTCTGTTTATTCAGCTGCTGCCATTACATCGTCTGTTGAATAAATACTCAGTAAGATATGCCGACACATTCAACAATGGTTCTCTGTCTTTTTTATGGGTTATAATCTAATCATCACTCTAGGTCACACCCTCCCGAGTTCAGCGACTCTTGTATTCGAAATTCCCATGTATAGTTGAAAAACCTTGAAACAATAATGTAAGTAGAATGCATAACGTCTATGGATTTATAGAACTATTTTTAATAATGGAAGCGCAATCATCAAGCAAGTGTAATTTAAGGAGGGAGACTGGATGGGTGATAAAATTACTTACTTAATATATGGTGCTCCCCATAGAGCATAGGCTACCACGTGGAATCTCTTTGAATTTCGTAAAGTCAGTCAGTCAGCTACAACGTAGGACCAGGCACATATATGCATCGGTCCAAGTTGCCATACCTCGTTAGCACAACAAGATGAACACCGAATTCATAGAATTAGTTAATTTAGTGGTGGTAACATATAAGAGAAAGGTTGTATATAAGGGTATAGTGTAGGAAGGAAGACAGATATGAAGCAATTTCAATCTCAAGGTTTAAGGGAAGATGAAGAGTATATACGCTTACACCACTGTGATCGATTCTGAGCCATGTCACCTAGAGTCTCCAACCATTGGTTACAATAGTCACGCGGACCCCAACCAGGTAGTCTGCATCTACGAACATGGCTCAGACTAGAAGTTAGTGACTTCAAGCAATGATGCCACGTTTTGGTCTGGCCACCCTTAACTTTTTTCCAACCATCCCCAACACTAGTCAGCATAGCGCGTCGTGGTAATCGGTGTTCAGGCATACGTAATACGTGGCTTAACCATCTCAGTCGATGAAGATTCATCACCTCATCAACTGATTTACCATCATTCTCTAATACCCTGTAAAGTAAAGTAAATTTTTTTATCAAATAAATAGTAGTTTTATCTTTTTATAACGATTTTAAATACTTATTATATGTCTAACAAAATTTCTTCTCAAGAATAACAGTACAGAATGGAATTTCGATACCGTAGGACGTGTATCTAATAGTGGTATTGATAGTGATGATGATAGTGATGAGAATGACTATAAGATTACTTCATATACTGATCGTTCTGGCAGTGTACTACAGCCCTGTAATTCATCGAGTGGATTTGATTTTCCATCAGAATTATTAACTCAAACAAATACAGCTGCTGTAATTGGTTCATCTGCGTCTAATCAAGTAAATAATGCACTTGCAACGGGGGCAGCGGCTACAACAGCGGTACCAACAACACTACCAGTTGTTGATGAAACTGTTGGTGGTATTAGTCCACGAACTAATATACCACATTTAGATAGAACAGATAACTATAATATTGCGGTGTCTGGGTCATCATCGTCGTCGTTTCCACCTGCTCCAGCGTGTACACCTGCCTCTCCGGAGACATCGAATTCGATTAGTGCTATGGCAGCGGCGTTCTCAAGCACTTTGACAACTGAGGATCCTGATAATCAACAACAACAGTCTCAAACAAATGATCCTGTAAGTTGTTATTGTTCTTCATGAACCTTTCAACTTGATTTTTACATTTTTAAAATTTGTGTAAATTTATTTAAAAGGTTTCAACTGGAATAGCATTAAGATTATGGGATTATGTATCTGGAGGTAGTCTACAGGAAATTGTACATAATTTGATATTCAATAATAAGGCATATCTGAGTTTCATGTTCAAACTCCACATCCACCCTACTTTTGACTTAGGTAACCGGCTGTTATCATTAGCCATCAGATATAAGTAGCACCTGGTTTATTGTTTAGGAAACAAAATCGGTTCTTGCTATGATGTTATCTTGCACTCTCCTTCAATCTATACATGTATTGTACAACTTGTCGGCACATTTAATATTTGCTGATGTGCATAATGCTAGTATGTTAACAACTGGTGATCATCTCTTGTTGTGTATCCCCAGTACTATCTTCTTCATAGGACACACAATTTTGAACTTATTTCGAAAAACGCGATTAAAACACATTAATCAATATTATTATCAAGCAGAAAAAATATCTTCTATTTAGATCGAATATCTTCATTCACTTGTTAAAGTTTCACTATCCAGTTGCGTTAAATTTTTTACAAATATGAAAGCGGTCGAAAAAAATGTTTTAGTGTAACTCACTATGTAGATTGATGGAGTTCAGCTATGCCTTGTTAGTAAGACACTGGATAATATACTTGCTCGGTCGTGAATTAATTTTAGTTGAAACTGTGAACTACCATTCAGTCAGTCAGCTACAACGTAGGACCAAGCACATTTACACTTCGGTCCAAGTTGCCATACCTCATTAACACAACAAGATGAACACCGGATTCATAGAAATAGTTAATTTAGTGGCTCAGACCATAAGTTAGTGACTTCAAGCACTGATGCCACGTTTTGGTTTGGCCGGCACTAACTCTTTTCCAACCATCCCTACATTAGTCAGCATCGCGCGTCGTGTAATCGGTGTTCAGGCATACTTAACACGTGGCCTAACCATCTCAGTCGATGAAGATTCATCACCTCATCAACTGATTTGCCATCATTTCCTAATACCCTGTGTCTGCCCACCATTCGATAGTTACAATTCATGAATATCGTCTACACATAAAATACATTGCTCACCCCTATCCCAAACATACTGGTGTTCAAATTTGTTACTGCTGGACATATGGGTGATGTTGATCATTCATATATAGGTACGCATTAATATTTTACAAATAACATGTTTTATGTGTTCAATTTTATGTGCATACTTACTTACGCTCCTCTCATGGAGGAGCATAAGCCGCTCACCACCATTCTTCATCCAACTCTGTCCTGGGCAATTTTTTTATTTAAACACATAAATATTGGTACAAAGGGGCACCAGATACATATGCGCCACATAAATCTCATTTGATTTGTGTGAGGGATGTGATGCTGCTTGGATGCCCACTTCCTCAGCTGGAAGTCGGTTTGTTTGCTTCCACAGTAGGCTGTTGCCGATAGTATCCGGCGAACTGACATTGAGTATCTTGTGTAAACAATTGTTTATAAACGCTTGTACTTATTTGATGATGGTTGTAATAGTTCTTGAAGTTTTAACTTCGTATAGTAGAACTAACTGACTTGACTTTCACATTGAAGTTTGTGACCTTGATGTTGGTTAACAGTTGTTTTGTGTTCCATATGTTCTTCAGCTGTAAGAATGATACTCTCACTTTGCCAATCCTTGACTCAACGTCTGCATCATATCCTCCTTGTTCATCGATGATGCTGTCCGGGCAGGTACGTGAAAGTTTCCACCTGTTCCAGAGTCTGTCCCTCATTTGGGATCCAAGACTCACACTCCTTCCTACGTAGGACTAGTCATCTGGACGTATTAACACACTAAAGTTGATGTTCAATATGGGACTTAAACCCAGTACTTTTGTTTCAAGCTCCATCGCTCTATCTACTTAGCTACTTGTGCAATTCTAGGATGAAAATACATCCAGCTGTAGAGTCTTAAATAGGATCAAACGTGTGTCCTAGATTCTAGTGCTAGCTACATTCCATTGATTTTTATTTAAACTTGTGTCACAATACCTGTATCAAGCTAGTTTATACAGGATGCCCAGATACCGACGAATACTAATCAAATTTAAGCTAAAACTTCATCAAAGGAATAATCCAAACCATTTTAATGACTCGTCGTCGCGTGCACTGTGCCACGACGAGGTGGTGGCTGGAGGTAGTCGATAGGAAACCCTGGACCTAGGTTTCATGCTGTTCGGCACTCGTCAGCAAGGTGTACCTGTAACCTTGAGGGAAATGATGCTCCCTGACGAACTCGGTTCCATGTCACCAAGTTTCACAGTCAGAGACGTTACCAATGAGCTATCCAGGTTTTCCTGTTGGCTACCTCCAGCCACCATCTCAGATCAAACGCTTTATTGAATAATCTTAGAATGATAAGATTAGTTATAGTGATCGTAGAAATTGTTGATCAAAAAAATGAAATTTTTCGATATTTTAAAACTAAGGGATTAATAGCAATGAATCGAAAAACTTAGCCGTTCTAGATAAACCAGGAACTATGCATCGATGAGAGTCAAAATAACCAATAACTGCTACTGTATTATGCACAGTTCTATCTTTTTCCTGTTTACTTATCGTTTAAGTTACTCTACTTGGGATCTACTACAGTATTATATTCATGATAAATCTACTTATGACGTTGTTGATTAATTTGAGTCTATATTCACTGTCGAATTTCTTGATTTCCATTCTTCAAAGATTTGTTTTTTACATAAAGCCCTTATTGTTCTTTGAATATATTTGCTGAATAAACAGGCTTGACTAAAATTTTAATTCCATACTAATAATTTTATTTTTTTCTTCCCCCATCGTTTAGTCATGTGGCAGTGGTTTATGCTATCGAATAACATTACGTAAACGTAATCCAAAACAGAATAATGAACTTCAAGATATCAGTTTTAATTATGTTCCAGGAGAAGGTGAGTGGATTTCTTTTTTTTTCCATTTCAAACTTGTATTTTTAACACTTCAAACATTAAACAAGTTACTGACATTAATGAGTAGATTGATAGGCTTTATTTAATCTCAAGATGAAGAAAAATGTCAAGTTGATTAATGAGAGGCTATGATTCATTTTGAGAAACTCTGGAAGAGGTGGAAATATTCACGTACCTGGGAAGCATCGTTGATAAACAAGGAGGATCGGATGCAGATGTAAAGGCGAGGATTGCAATACAAGGACCGTATTCCTACAAGTGAAGAACATATGGAACTTAAAACAACTGTCGTAGAACTTCAAAGTGAGAATCTTCAATACGAACTTCAAGACAGTCAGTTTTACTGTATGGAGCTGAAACGTGTAGAACTACTACGTCCATCGTCAAGAAGGTACAAGTATTTATAAACAGTTGTTTACGCAAAATACTCAACATTCACTGGCCGAATACTATCAGCAACAGCCTACTATGAGAGAGGAGAAACCAACTTCCAGTTGAGGAGGGAATTAGGAAAAGACGTTTAAATTGGGTAGAACATACATTAAGGAAATCACCAATGTGCATTACAAGGCAAGGAAGCGGAAAAGCAGAGGGCCAAAGAACACATTACCCCGGAAAAATAGAAGCAGATATGAAAAGGATGAATGTTAACTGGAAAGAACTGGAAAGGAAGGCTCAGGACAGAGTTGGGTGGAGAATGCTGGTGAGCAGCCTATGCTCCTCGAAGAGGGGTAACAGGCGTAAGTAAAAGTAAGTAAATGATTCATTTTCGATTCGAGATAATGAAAAATAATGCTTTATTCATGAACCCACCCAGTTATTGTGTAGTGATAACTCCCATTAGAAGAGTAGATTAGAACTGTATTCGGCGCTTTGCGTTGCCTTTTGAATTCATACACCGTTGGGATTTATTTAATAATGGTTATCATGATGAAGCCTAAGAAATTATCTCGAGGCCAAGCCGTTACAACGTTGATAGTTTCAGACCTGTAATTTGAAATGTGTGAGCTGATCTTAATCAATAGTAAGGTGGTGCTATACTGAGTATATGGTAACGGTGTAGTTGCACTTACTTCTTCCTTTAAATCTCCAGTTTTATTTTATTTGTTATTTCAGTAAAATCATAGTATAGGGTCAAAGCAATCAGAATCAAGAAAGTGACTTTCATGTTTTGCTCAAAATTTAAATTTCACGTTTAACGAGCAATAGAAATACTTTTGTGTGGTACTCAAAACGTTCGAAATGGCGACGAAAAGTTATTTTTTTACCACCATAGAGTCGGAACTATAGCGTTAGACGTATCAGATACTCATTTCTGTCTCTGTAGTTGATATGCTACAGGTAAATCGACAATATCCCTATATTCTCACATTACACCCTTATCGATGTTTTTTTCTGTTTAATTGTAGTGTACTGAAGTGATAATAATCTGATAGTTATTTCTCTTTCCTAACTTTTTACAGATTCAGCTGATGTTTTAGCACGTGAACTAGTTCAAGCCGATTTACTAGATGGTTGTGATTCATTATTGGGTTAGTATTCACTTTTCGTTTATGTGTTTGTCCAGTTCTTTTTCTAATTTTATGTCCTATTGTTTTGTTTCGCCCTAACAATGACTGTAGAAAATGGTTTCTAAAAGTTAAGGATAGTAGTAAATTACTAATATTATATCATAGACGCGTTTGATGCTATTGCTCGTGTAAGTTGAGACCACTGAGTAATCGATTTCGGGATTTAATGCAAAGTATTAGGTAAAGATGACAAGTTGATTTACAAGGTCATGAACCTTTATCTACTGAGATAGCTAGGAAATGTGTTACATATATTCAACAATCTCCTACCTTGACGAGTGATAGTGGCTCATATATGAATAAGTTAGCGGAAAGCTAGAGGCAGCCGATCAATAAACACTCATCAGTCAATTAAGTCAATGATCGCTAAACTGTGATGCAACTAAGTAGAGACTACTTTATCGAGGTCCACATGGTTATCGTAACTTGTGATTGGCGAATCTTGGTGATAATATTACGATAGTATTGATTAATGTTTGTCTTGTAATATCGCTTGTTTGTTGATGCTGAGAATACGAACACTGACTGATGACTTTTTAGCTCATTGTTAGTTTAATGATATTGATAATTCATCTATTAAGTACTGGTTAACATTTTCAGCTTTAAGTTCCACTGTGTACGAGGGATAGTAATACTAATCGCCTGTTTAGATTTGCCACTTAATGCTCGAAAACAAAATATGTAAAGTATTATATTACCTCCTCGTTGTTTAAGATTGGGTTACTCATTGTTAAGTAGTCGCAACAATTGTTTAACGCTTCCTAATTTTTAATATTTTTAATTATAAAATGATTGTGTTCACGTTTCCATTAAGTCATGGAATTCCAATGAAATAAGCATATTTTCAATCAGCATTGAACTCCGATTGTTTTAATTTTTGTAAACAATTAATAAAGTTGAAATCATGAATCATTTGAAGCTAGACCACCATGGAAAACCTGGTAGCACTGGACGGCCGTTTCGTCCTATTGTGGGACTCCTCAGCAGTGCGCATCCACGACCTTACCTCAAGAGATTCGAACCCAGGACCTATCAGTCTCGCGCCAAAGCACTTAACCTCTAGACCACTGAGCCGGCCGGCATCCGATGGTATTAATGTCCTAACTTCAACCAATCCACGCAATTGGGCAATCATTCATCAATTGTCTTCAGTAAGTTATCTCACAACAGACCTGGTTGAACTCCACTAGTCACTGCTTATCACTAGAACTCCAGTGGATGCGCACTGCTGAGGAGTCCCACAATAGGACGAAACGGCCGTCCAGTGCTTCCAGGTTTTCCTCGATGGTCTATCTTCAGTTGACTCATGATTTCAACTATATAAAATTGCTAAAATCTTCACAAAACCCCTCTTCTAATAATTAATAAATTGTATTTAACCCTTACATTTAACTTCATGAAGTGAAATTTTGACTATGCTTAATGTTTAATAAATTACATCATCATCAGTAGTATAATAATAATCGTATATTAATATTGATAACTATTCAGTACCAATTTGTATGTGTGTGTGTGTGTGTGCGGGTATGTCAACCGAGCTTACATTTACACTTTTTTTTTTCAAAAATAGTATTCCAATAACAAATTACATCAATCAAACAAGTGTAATAAGTAATCTTAACACCATTGTATTTAGTTAATTATTTACATGAATGAAACTGATGTTTTATCAATTGAATGATATAAAGGTCATTTAAGGTAAGGCGGAATTTTTAAAATTATTCTCATAGTGAGTATATATATATATATGTGTCAATGAATATAATTATATTTGATATCCATAATATGATAGTTTAGAAAATAAACCTATTCCCACCTATTATTGCAACAGAATTGTGAATGTATGTATGTATGTATGTGTGTGTATATATATATTGTATAGCCGTTTTTTTTGGCTCACTTCTGAAATCCTTTTTTTTATATATGTCAACACTATTTGCTATTGCTATGCAGTTTTATTTTATTATGTAAATGACATAGATGGTTTGAATTCTCATGTTTTTTTTCTGGATTGAATGAGATTAAATTATACATTTAAAAATATTTATTTTTGGATAGTGGCTAGCAATGGAATCTAGTTTGACACGCGTTTCGTCCTATTTGGAACTCATCAGTTGGATGTACCTGCATCTCAGAGTTAGGGTTCACTCTAGGACTCGAACCCAGTGCCTTTTGCTTCAAATGCCATCGCGTTATCCACTCAGCTACTGAGTCCTGTTAGCCACTTGCTTGTGCAATGGGGTGAAGTTTTTTAATTCACTTAGTATTGTTTGTTTGAATCTTCCCATTGATGTTTTAGGACTGCAACTGGTCAGTCTCTAATTGGCATATGTGCATACTGTATTGCCTCGATATAGCCTTAATTCACAAGCATTGTAAGCAAAAATGGGTTCGAGTCCCAAAGTGAACATCAACTCTGAGATACAGGTACATCCAGGTGACGAGTCCCAAATAGGACGAAACGTGCGTCAAATTGGATTCTACTGCTAGCCACTATCCAAAAATAAATATTTTTAAATGTATAATTTAATCTCATTCAATTCAGAAAAAAAAACATGAGAATTCAAACCATCTATGTCATTTACATAATAAAATAAAACTGCATAGCGATAGCAAATAGTGTTGACATATAAAAAAAGGATTTCAGAAGTGAGCCAAAAAGCGGGTGTTTGCTTTTTTTTTCCAAAAGTCGTATTTACAATTCGATATGGTCTTTTATGAGTACATAACTGAACATATTGAAGTAATTAGTATTATTATAATTACACTATTACTATCTATAAATTTGGGCGACCATACCACGTTGAAAGCACTGGTTCTCGTTCGACCACTGCAGTGAAGCAACGTTGGGCCCGGTCAGTACTTGCATGGGTGAACGGGTGTCTCAGGCTTTAGCCCCCAAATGCCGTGGTAAGGCCGAGAGAGGGGAGAGTTCGCTCTCATATCGCCACGCATTACTGTTGTTTACGAAATTGAGAGGACGTAAAGCGAATGTCCGGTGCTTTAACCGGGTTGGTGGACACGAAAAGTCCACCTAGGGGAGTTGGAAAACCCCGACTCCTAACCAATCGTGCACATGGACTCCATTATCCTGAGGGAACAAATGGCATATGAATCAATTGTTGGTGACTGGCTACTATGGGACTGCATCTCCTGAAGTTGCTCCGCTACCTTGTGGATCAGACCTATAGGTCAAAGGCGCCGGATGTGACCCCCTAAGAAAACCACCTGCTTCGGTTTGTGCACCTGGGCAGTATCACATCCCTCCCACAAATCAAATGATATTTGTGTGGCACATATATATCTGGTGCTTCCTTGTATCAATATTTATGTGTTTAAATAAATAAATTAACACAATGCTCAAATTTATTCGAAATTAGCAAATCAAACCTTGGTAATAACACTTATAAAAAAAATATCGAAGGTAATATACCAATGAGAAAATGAAGAATTTAGCATATCACATCCTAGGATTGATGAGTAGAATTGGGAATATTGTTATACTCTAGTGAAGACATAATTACAGGTGACTTCCGGGACCTATTAATGGATGATTATTCTATATATACTCTTATTGTATAACTTTTCAGTGACTAGATTTAATCTATATGTATTCATCTTATTATAAGCTTCATTTCGACCTATGGTTTATTATTATACGAATCACTGTCCCTAAATTATATTCAGTTTATTGAGTACTGTCTCCACGTTCACTGCCACATTTGGTTTAATCTTGTACAAATGTTATTTTCTATTTTATGGTGTGATTTGGTCTGTTTGTCTGGTATATAAACCAAGTATGCTTGAAATAAATAATTCGCATAGTAGGAGCTATTATTGGTGTTCTGGAGTCAAGTGGACGGACTAGGCGGGCAAAGGACCAATAAGGACGCTAGACTGCTCATACAGGTGGAACATCATTGGTTTGGCACAGTGCTAAGATTGGATACGTCATATTTCGATTGGTGAATAATTCAAGTGATAAAAAGTCAGATATAAAATCGTAACGAATTGGATACGGCCTTCTGTATTTTTTAAATTCATAACAAAACAGATAGTTTAATTATGACGCTTTCATAAATATATGCATTAATTACTGCCTAACATCGACGTCCAATGCTGGCTGGAATAGGAATAATTTTGAAAAAAAAATGAAAGAATAAGCAAACTAGGAACAGCATCAGGTCATGAAATCAATGACTGTTATACTGAACTATGTTTGTAGGTAAGTGAGGTTTACATGATAACCACAATCACTGATTGGAGACATTGGGACATCAGAATGTCCTTTGATCTCTTACAGCTTCGATGTTATTTGATCCAATTTATTCCTTATTTTAAAACCATATGTTCATTTTCACGACTATTGATAAGATTATTATTATTTCAACGTATTTGCTATTGATCTAACGATCATATGTACTAAGCTTTATGTTGATTATGACCACTAACTGGATTAAACTTTTATTTATCATACGTGACAACATTATTAGAAACAAGTTCAAAAAGATAGGACAATGTAGATTAACATAAATTTATGTTTAGATTTAGTGAATAAATAAATGTTTCAAGTGAGCTTAAATAATCGTTATTCTTCAAGACATTGGTAATAATTGGAAAAAAAATGAAAGTCTTCCATCAGTTATAAACAAGAAAGAACTTGATGTAAATATGTTTACCGGTTCAATTCCACATACTTTAACAACAGCACAAACAGGAGAGATTAAATCATATCAACTGTAGTGGAGATTTAGACATAATAATTGTAGATATAGAATAGATGTAATGTGGTTACCAATGGCATCCAAGATGTGCGCTTCGTCCTATTTAAGACTCATCAGGTGGATGAACCTGTATCTCAGAGTTGACGTTTACTCTGGGACTCAAATCTAGTACCGTTTCCTCCGAACGCCATCACGTTATCTACTTAGCTACTGAGTCTAAATAGCCTCTAACTTGCGCAAAAGCACAGGATAATGAACCTCAACACTAGGGTGCATTTGCATCCAGACGACTAGTTCAAAATAGGATAGAACAGATGCTTTTGATCTCACTATTAGCTATAATACAAATATACTAAAACTAAGATCAGATATTTGCAACCTAGATACGGCTTTTGCCTACATATGGGGGGAAGAGGGAGAAAAATTTACTGTTACATATCCACTTAGAGTTAGCCCCAAAATGACAGGGGGATTATGCATTTCATTAAAATAGTAAAAAGAAAACATTTTCAATCAACAGTTACCAAGACATATATTACATACTAAAAATGTTTCCTTATGGGGCCACACCTGGAGCTATGACTTAAAGATCTGATCCACAAGGCAGTGGAGTATCGTAAGGACATGCAGTCCTATGGTACCCGGTGACCAACGATTGATTCATACCCCATTTGTTCCTTCAGGATCCTGGAGCCCCTGTGCACCATTGGTTTAGAATTAGGTGTTTCCAACTCCCCTAGGTGTAACTTCCGTTTCCACCGATTATAAATAAAAGTAATATATTTGTAATATTTCATTAAGTAGAAAATTAAATTTCGTGAATTAATGTAAACCACTTCTTCAAAAAATAAATAAATAACCAAAATCAAAATGAATTCAAGTTTAATTAGTACAACGGAACAAAACAGCAATATCAAGTTTTGTTGTAAATAACAACATTATTCACGTGATTGTTTTTTGCTCCCTCTCCCCCCTCTCTTTCACACACACATACAAATTATGCTTTGTTCAATAAGTTTTATTAAAAGTAAACAATTTCCAATTGATCGATAGAATAATATGAAACTATATGTAACTGTGTATGTACATGTGTGTGTGTGTGTTTGTATTTATAGTGATATTGGTGAACTGCGACAAATTGCATTCAGTAACCCCCTATGAATTCATTCAATTAATCTGTCAATCAAATAATTTTTCAGATGTCAGAGATTTACATTGACCTTTGTTAGGTGGTGATTGAAAGTAGTCAGTAGGAAACTCATGTATGACCTACTTTCTGTACTATTTGACTTGTAATCCTGAGGCGGTTGATGTTTTTTAGTGAATTCGAATCTTATTCATCTAACTTCACAGTTCAAATCGTGCCGCTAGCAGATGATATGTAGTCACTTAGATTAGTGGCCATATTGCATCTTAATTCATAGAATGATGAGAAAAAAATAACTATAGTCAATACTCAGTGACTAATCAATTATAGGTCAATCCTGTTTCCTAACACTATGCATCATAAAGAAATTCTCTTCAAGGAGCACTTATATTAAAGGATGGACAAAATTGGCATATGTGCATACTGTGCGTATTGCCTTGATATAGCCTTAATTCACAAGCATGGTAAGCAGAGATACACTCAGTGGCCGAGTGGATAACGCGATGGCGTTTGAAGCAAGAGTACTCGGTTCGAGTCCCAAAGTGAACATCAACTCTGAGTTGCAGGTACATCCAGGTGACGAGTCCCAAATAGGACGAGACGCGCGTCCTGTATTCCACTGCTAGCCACTATCCATCTCTGCTTACTATTACTAAACATTGGTTACAATACTATCTCACTGAATTACATTAGTAGACGTTAGTTGGTTGATATAAGTTGAATCAACAGTTATTTACTTTATGGAGTAATAAAATATATTGATCAGACTATTCCTGGACTTTTTTCCAACCTATTTTTGTGCTACTGTTGAGGTTAATTCATCTTCATTTGACTCCAATATAGGATATCCTGTCAACTGAGTATTTTAAGCAGGCCAAATCTCATAGTGGTATTATGAATTTATTCGAGATTACTCAAAAGCCAGAACACTAGTTGTTAGGAGAGTGTATTCTCCATAATTAGTAAAATCTATAAGCGTGCAGAAAGCAAGCACACAGGGAAGAAAGAGCGTGTGTGTTGAGTGTTGAAACATATTTATATATATATTGATCGACTGTAAGTTATCGATTACCTGTGTTTACAACCAACGGGAGGATAGATAAAGATTGATGTGCAGTCATTCATTTAATCAAACTCACAAATTTTCCAGATGACAGCAGTCAGGTAATAAAAAATTCAGTGGGCTTATCATACTACCCAACATTAGTTTGTTTAGATAGCCTCATTATTTGGCAAACGTAGTACATATATCTTACTCATCTTAGTATTATGCAAATATTCAGGTGAGTCTATGGACGAACCAATCAGATCTAACATAGCGAGTCTATACGGTTAAATAGCATTTTGGCATTATAGCTGATGTCAATTCGTGATGAAAAGCCTAACTCTAACTCCTAGATAGACCCCTATGCTAATATGTCACCTTAATATGTAATTTTTTTTTTGAACCTAGCAAATAAGATTTTCTCAAAGTCACTTTGGCGTCCCTCAAAAGGTCATCCATAAATTATAGTCTCATCAATATTTAACCTCCCTATAATCAAATTTATTTCACTTTACTGCAGTGAACAAAACACCGGTTGGGGGACAATCGAAATGTATTTAGACACCAATTACCGACTATCTCATTAAATTCTGATAACCATACAGTCAACAGTTAATTTGCAAGCTATCAATCAATTGTCTCAATCTTGACTGTTCCTTCTGTAAATATCAATCCATCTTCTCTAATTTCATTGTTTATACATTTTCCTACCAATTGCGCTTCATTTCGGTTCTTTCCTTATCGGTCTTCTACCAAAATACATTCTATGTCTGACCGTCACCATATACTACTTATATAGATATAAGTAGACCACACTACATTATTACGCCATTAATATGTATACATTACTGTGTTCTGTTAATTTATGCACAGGTGGGTTTTATATAATCAATAATTTTATTTTATATCTTGTTTCTGTAGTTGCACATCACATGAGTGAATTGGTCAGTAATCCAAGTGAACGTGAACGTGTTTTACCATTGGTAAGTTGTTGGTTTTCTTATTTTTCAAAACAAATAAATAGTTTCCCTGGATTCCACTGCTAATTACTACCCATCTTTGCTTATAATAGTGGTCATAGGTTTGATTTTGTTGTATATCTTCAAAAAGAAAAGATTATGTTAGTCCATGTCTGATTGGGCAGTTTCTAATTCATCAGGTTGTATTATGTAGTCCGATTGTTGATTTATACACCAGTGACTGTAAATAACAATCAAAGAAGTCTATGCTTATTGGCATTCACAAACACCTTACAATTAAAAGATGAAGTTAACATGTAAATTTATTCTCTATTTGTACTCTATTCATTCATATTTCAAAACTCATACAGTAGTGTGCCTCAAATACACAAGTCAGTCATAAGTCTTACAACAACGGAGCAGTGATGAATTAAATAATTATTATCAGAAAGAGGTCTTATAGAGACTATCTATTATAGACTATCTATTATAGAGACTATCTATAGAGACTAATCTAATGGTTGAATTTATGAGTCAACTAAAGCTAGACCACCATGGAAAAGCTGAAAGCACTGGACGACTGTTTCACCCTAGTATGGGACTCCTCAGTAGTGCGACTTCACGATCCCGCCCGCGGGATTCGAAACCAGGACCTTCGGTCTCACACGTAAACGCTTAACCTCTAGATCGCTGATAATTAGTCGGGAACAGTAAGACACATGGCAATGGCTCATGGGTCAAATGAAGTATCTATTGATAATAAGATAAAAATATAAACAATAAATTTCATGACTTTCTCAAATCCTCTTCGATATAACTACTTGATTATGTGTGTTTTACTACTACTCTTGGATAATTATCAGTATATTGTATATAAGGGTAGATTTCCTTGGTGCTAGATAATTAAATGAGTTGGACTGAGTAGTAGATCAATAGAATATGATACTTGATCACAAGGTGCATTCACTCATGAATATTCGACAACCGATTAAGAGCCAGATATGAGCCACAGTAATAATATATTATCGCGCAATACAAGACATTGAGCAAATGAGGTCAAAGTAAAGCGAAAATGAAATCGACTTTACATATAAGTTAATTTCTTATTATTCTATGTGACCAGTTATATCTATCTCCGCTCGTCAGCCAGTCACAACTTACTCTAACCGACCTATCACGTGCCCACAATCTTGAGGGCATTAATATTATTGAAATCCGTATAACCGATCCTCACAGTCTGAGATCTTACCACTGAGCTTTTTGAGCCACGACTGATTTGTAAAAGGACTGAAATATTGCCTACCAAATATCTCCAGTCATCTAGCATAAATATAACGTTTAGCCACTTAGATCAGTAGCCACATTGCAACTTGACCATTAAAATTAGATCATCACCAAAAAGGATTATACAAAAATGACATTAGTCCGTACTCAATAATAAATCAATTGAGCCTTTAGCAGTATGACTCATTAAATAATTACAGGTTTGTGTTATAACGGGTAGTGTCCGAAATCTGATACTGATACAAGACGTGCTACGCGCTAACCCTTCAATCGATTAGTTGAATGAGAACACAACAGTGAAGAGAAAGTATATCAGGGGCATGGAATAAAATACACAAATATATATATATATATATTGGGAAATCAATCCATCTCTTAGCCAATGATATGCACTTGTCCTTCAGTTCATTTCTGATGAACATTCTCATTTGGCCTCTTCCGATAGGCTTATCATGTTGGTTTGTATACTCGACATTAAACCACACGTTTTGTAAATTTGTGGCTAACTATATTACCTATGTGTAGCTTCCAAAAATCTTAATTGGTTGTAGACTGTCATCGAAAGACTAGGTAGTTGGAAATTGCTAATAAGGTATATTTTCGATCTTGATGGAATTGATGCTCTTGACAGGATTTGAGCCTACATCACCTAGTACCAATTTCAGATACGTTACTCTTAAAGTATTCTAAGTGGTAGATTCATATAAAATGAAACTCTTGTGTTATGGATTTGTTTGTGTGGTTTAGTAAGTAGTATTCACTCTTACTTACGTACGTACGCCTGTTACCCCTCGTGGAGGAGCATAGGCCGCACACCAGCATTCTCCATCCGATCCTGTCCTGGACAATCCTTTCCAGTTCTTTCTAGTTAAAATTCATCCTTTTCATATCTGATTCTATTTCCCGACATAATGTGTTCTTTGACCTTCCTCTTTTCCGCTTCCCTTCCGAATTCCAAGTTAGGGCTTGCCTCGTGAGTATTCATTCAACATAGATACATATATGTATTCATTCAGATAATAATTCGTATAACTTGCAATCTAGTTTAAATTGAATTTCCAAAAAAAAACAAGAAGTTTTAGTTTTTCAAAAAAAAATCTTATTTGATTTTGTATAAAATATGATTACTTATGCAAATAAATCAGTAATAAATACTTTTTTATGAGTAGTATTTGACTTAACAACTACATCTCTTTGCTAATGTGGTATGGCAACTCGAACTCGATCTCTCATCAGAATGGTGATCGAACTGATGTACGAACTTACATACGAAGTTCTACGTTGTGACTGACTGACTGAGTATTTTCTTAACGGTTTATCTAATAACTTGTTAATGTAAATATTTATATCATATCATATTATATATATATAAACGAAGTTCTAATAATATATCTACTTAATTGATTTATCACCGAGTAGTAAACAAGTTTTAATCATTTTTAGTCCTAAATGAATTCTATCGATCAAGTTTCTATATGACCACTAATTTTTAAGAGACTATATACTACTCACATTGTGCTTTGACATTAGGTAATCGGCAGGAAACCCTAGACTTGAATTTCGTGATACTTTTCAGTCGTCAGGAAGTATTTTTATTTATTTATTTAAACACATAACTATTGGTACAATGGGGCACCAGATACATATGCGCCACACAAATCTCATTTGATGTGTGTGAGGGCTGTGATACTGCCCAGGTGCCCAAAGTGAAGCAGATGGTTCTCTTAGGGGGCCACATCTGGAGCCTTCGATTTAAAGATCTGCTTTATATAATAGTGGAGCATCATGAGGAGATGCAGTCCCATGGTAACCGGTGACCAACCATTGATTCATATGCCATTTGTTCCCTCATGATACTGGAGCCCATGTGCACCATTGGTTTGGAATCAGTGTTTCCTAACTCCCCTAGGTAGACTTTTCGTGTCCACGTACTCGGTTAAAGCACCGGACATTCGCTTTTCATCCTCTCAATTTCGCAAAAAACAACACCCTCGCCACGAGAAGGCAGTGAGTAGGACTTCCTTGGCAGAGGCTATATACGTGTGGCCATATGAGAGCATTTCGAGAGGGAGAGCGGCTTCTCTCTGCTCTCGACCGTACCAGAGCATCTGGGGGCAAAAAGGCCATCCGAAAGTAGCGGATGTGTCATACTTCAGGAGAGTGGGCATCAGATGCCATGCCCAACCTTGTGCAAGGAACTGCCAACCATCTCCCCTTTTCTGACGACTTGCTTGCAAATCTACGTCACTCAGCTTTTCAGTTTGAGGCGCTAACAGTAAGCTGCTCGGTATTCAGTGTGTAAATATTATCTAGTCCTGAATGAAGATCATCTACCAGCATGGCTCACTCTATGAGCCAACAATTAATTAAAAAGATGTTATCTTTTAGAATTTCTACTCCTAACACATTCTTTAATTGTCTCTTATTGTGAATATCGAAGTATTTGAACTTACTAAACTCATGTTCCAGCTCTCTCAACTAATGAAGATCCATAAACTCACTATCTAAATCCTCATCTTACTCAAATACCGTTGCACAATATCAGTATTTACTCATTACATTGATTCTTATGTGCACCAGCATTACTTCAAAGATTGGTAGGGTTGTTTGACAACCGTAAATTATGATGGAACAACCTAATATGTGACACCATCTTTTCAATCGACAAATTCACATCTTATCTATATCATGGTTTAACATAGTGAAAGTTGAACGAACTATATAAACTCACATTGAGATTACTTCAGTGATTATCAATTTACATAAAACTTATCATAATAAAATGTAATTGTATTTTATTGATTTTAGAATTCACAGCCAGCTGCTGGTCAAGTTCCAATTGAATCCGAATTACATGGTTATGCAAAAGTACTTATCAGAGTTATTAATAATACACCTACAACAACATGAAAACCACCATTATTACTACACATAATAATAATAATGTTTAGTATTAAATAATCGGCATTTTACAAGTTTACTCATAGAAATGATCTATCTGTTTATCTATTCCTTTTTCCAAATGGTGAATAGCTCCCATACTACTATTACTAATAATAATAGTAGTAGTAGTAGTAGTAGTACGAAAAACTGTTTTGTTACTACTCGCTATATTATTTTGTGTGTGTGTGTGTGTGTTTTGCACTACTCACTGATAGAAAGATTTCAGTGAAAGAAAGAAAAGCCATGTTCTTTTGTTACAGTTCTTCCTATTCTATTGTTTCCAGTTAACTTCCTCAAGTATCATTGTTTACCCTTCTCTTCTCTTACTATTCAATCATTGGCATTATTTCAGTTTGATTGTTCATAATTCTATAAGGAGATGTGCATATTAAACAGATTGACTAACTGCTTTCAATTCTATAGTGTATATGAATGAATGTAGATGCTTGTCTTAACAAGTTTTGGTTTGTTTTCGTCTTCCTTCTTACATGTATGTTCAATACAGGAATACATATTTATTTATTTACTTATTTTTTGGCATCCAATGTATACTAGACCATATAAGATACTATTTTTTATATCCTTTTCATTTAGTTTGTGGTTCATTTGATGATGATTATTATTAGTGTTATCTAATGATCCTTTTTCTGAAAACTAATTTACATTATTAAGCTACCTTTATAATGTCCCTATGCAGTTGTTCTCCCCCCTCTCACTCTCACTTTTCCATAAATTTAACGGACAATCAATCATAATCAGATCATCTGTTGTCCTCCCCCCCTCTCTCTTTTTGTCTCTCTCATATTGTAACCTTGACTGTGTAATTGTTGTAATCACTATTATGTAATCTGTTTGAAAATTGCATATTATCACTATAGATATAAAAGAACAATAATTCTTGTACTACATTTTACAATATGAGAATCAAAGTAAATGGGGGATGGCAATGATGTATATGTTTACATGTCAACTATAATTCTTTGTTTTTTTTTCTTGAATATACAACATAGTAAACTATCTAAACATTTTTAAACCTGTTTCTTTTGTCTTCTTGCCTTTTTGACAGCTTTTGTTTGCATAATGACTTTCAATTAAAAAAAAAAAGAAGTTATCTATTGTTCTTTTTATTAAAAAGAAAATTTTGTTGACTTGAATTTGTTCTTGTTAATATTATTATTACTACTGATTTTTTAGTTCTTTTAAAGTAGTATGTTACTTACTTACTTACGCCTGTTACCCCTCGTCGAGGAGCATAGGCCTCTCAGCAGCATTCTCCATCCAACTATGTCCTGAGACTTCCATTCCAGTTGCTATTCATCCTTTTCATATCTGCTTCTATTTCCCGGCATAGTGTATTCTTTGGTCTTCCTCTTTTCCGCTTCCCTTCAAGATTCCAAGTTTAGGGATTGCCTTGTAATGCACATTGGTGATTTCCTTAATGTATGTCCGATCCACTTCCAACGTCTTTTCCTGATTTCCTCTAACCAGAAAAAAAATAGTATGTTAAGCTTATGTAATATCTATTTTCGCTTGTTCAACTCATTGGAACTAAGAAAAAAAGTTGTCTACTATAATGACTTGTTTATTATTCTCTATCAACTTCTTACAATAGGTTGAATAGTCTAGAAAATTTAACTAATCAGTTCATTGAAAAGTTAAATACTTCTTAATCTACCAAATAATCGTGCTTCAGTCAGCTACAATGTAGGACCAGGCACATATATGCAATGGTCCAAGTTGCCATACCTCGTTAATCTAACAAGATGAACACCGGATTCATAGAAATAGTTAATTTAATGGTGGTAATATATAAAAGAAAGATTGTTTATAAGCGTATAGTACAGGAAGGAAGAGAGATATGAAGCAATTTTAGTCTCAAGGTTTAAGGGAAGATAAAGAGTGTATACACCTACGCCATTGTGATCGATTCTGAGCCATGTCACCTATGGTTTCCAACCATTGGTTACGATAGTCACGCGGATCCCAACCAAGTAGTCTGCATCTACCAACGTGGCTCAGACTAGAAGTTAGTGACTTCAAGCACTGATGCCATGTTTTGGTTTGACCGCTGTTAACTTTCTTCCAACCATCCCCAATACTAGTCAGCATAGCGCGTCGTGGTAATCGGTGTTCAGGCATACGTAACACATGGCCCAACCATCTCAGTCGATGAAGATTCATCAACTGATTTACCATCGTTCCCTAATACCCTGCGTCTAACCTCACTATTACTTACCCGATTATCCCAGCAGATGCGAGCAATATTTCTAAGGCATCTGTGGTCAAATACTAGTAACTTACGAGTATCTTCAACTCTTAATGACCATGTTTCATATCCGTAAAGTACTACAGAGCGAACTGCTGTGCATTATACTCGTCCCTTAATTGATGTACGGATATCTCATCTTCGCCATAGATGACGTAAGTTGGCAATAGCCGGACTAGCTTTCTGAATCCATGCAGAGATTTTGTCAGACATCAACACAATAAGAATTTGTTTAGTAATAGTTTAATATGATATAAAATGTCAATTTGTACGGGTCGTATATACGTGATGAAGATAAGATGAATCCGTAGAGTCACTATATTGAAGTGTAAGATAAGGTATTACGTCATGACTACAAATTTCGGATATTGAAGAAAAATATTCATTTAAAAGGAAAAGAGAGCGAGAGAGAAAAGAAAGAAGCAACTAAAGTGACAGATGATCATCTATGATAATGGGAGTATATTTAATATTGACCTCTTAAGTCGCTCTCCCACGAGAGATATTTATCTGTTCACATGTTTTCATACGAGTAGATTCGGTACGCAAACCTTTGCGACAGCCATACGAATTACCTTTTCACATGACTTGCCGTTACAAAAAGACCTTCAAGGTTGATCGAGATAGTTAGCATTGATAGTTTCAAGCC